GTCACAGTATGTTTCAGAAAATGAGACCAGGCCACAAGATCAAACAGGCATAATGTTTCCACTAAAATATGACTTAAAACCAGGATTATAAACTTTTTTCCTTCTTTGTCTATCATATCCACAATACATCAGACATGGACCTACCACAATTATTATTCAACATCAGAGTGCTGAGACTCACATACATCTATACCCCAGCATTTGCACTAACTTGAAAACAGAGAAGTGGGAACCAAATGGTCAGAGTCAGTGACCCAGGAAAGGCAGGACTACTCAACTAGGTCCCAGTTGAATGGGTTCTGCCTTCACCTCAGTGCTCACGTTACGGTCATTTCCCACTGTATCCATCCTGTTCCTTATCCAAATGAGGCCTACCTAATTCAAGAGCACCATGTGGGTAAGGCATTCTCCAAATCAAGTCTACCAGTGCACTAGCTAATGCAACAAAGGTCAACGATCAGGAGGAATACAGATTGCTTCCATCACCTACAACATTCAGTGCCCAAAAGCCTTTAAATGCTCAGGAAAAATTGGTTTCACTTGAATTGTTATTGTCAACAAAGCTGTGTTTTAACTCAAACATGACTTAGTACTACTCCACACCTAAGAGACATGGCAAACTAGACTGATAGACTTGAACTACCTCTTAAAGTGTCAGTGCAATAAAGGCTTTAAGTGCAATTTCTATAACCTTAAGATGAAGTCAATCAGCCAAATAATTAGATTGAATTCAGCTAAATACAATTACAATTTAAAGTATGTAGGGATTTGATGAGAGCATACCAAAATATGAAGTAAAGCTTAACAAAAAAATAAAGGCAAGTAAAATTATTAAAAAAACACGCATTACACAAATGTATTAAAGAAAAGACCTATAGTTATTAAGGTAGTATACACATATTTGAGAAAAATAAAAGAACTTACAAAGGATTTCTCAATTATTACAGTCAACTCTGAATTATCTATATTAATGAGTGGGACTAAAGGCATAAAATGTCACAAAAGAGCACTTAATGAAAAATATATATCTGCTTATGTGGAATGCTTTATTTGCCAGTACCATGGATTGAACTCCAGTCTCTGAGCTTGCTGGGTTTGCTTGCTCTACTGCTGCACTACCAGTTGAGTCATGCCTCCAGTCTGGCCTTTTGCTAGCTAAGAAATGGAGTCTAAACAACTTTTCTGCTGGGGCTGGCTTTACACCTCAATCTTCAGCTCTCAGCCTCCTTGAGTAGCTAGGATTATAGGCATAAGACACTGAGGCCCAGATACATTTCAGTTTCTAACTGCATTTCAGTTTCTAATTACCTACTCATTTAATTTTTTGGTGCGGGAATCAAACCAACAGCCTTTCACATTCTAGGCAAACACTCTATCTTATTTACTCAGACCTTATCTTTATTAATTTTTCTTTTTAGTGTATGTGTGTGTATTTCTTTTCATTTCTTTTTTTGAGCAGCATCTTGCAAGTTTCAATTCTCATCCTCCTACTTCAGCCTCTCTAAGGTTGGAATTTCATGTGTAAGTGATGGGATTTCAAATATCACCATTGGGCTCAGATAGAAATATAAACACTCAGTCTGTAATGAAAATTTCAAGCAAATAAAAAAGTACACTGTGGGGGGGGGCAAGTGTGGGCAAGTGCGGGTTTGGCAGGTTCTGGGGCTTGAATTCAGGGCCTGGGTACTGTCCCAACTGTTTTTGCTCAAGACTAGAACTCTACCACTTGAGCCACAGCGCCACTCGTGGCCTTTTCTGTTTATGAGGTACTGAGGAATTGAACCCAGGGCTTTATGCATGCTAGGCAAGCACCCTACCACTAAGCCACACTCCCAGCCTATACATTATGTTTTAATTAGAACAGAATTGACTACTGAGTTTAGCTCCGTAATCAATTTTGTATTCTTTGTGCTAAACACTATAACCTGAATGTCCTTGCTTTTTCACTAAACTTTTAAATTTTAATTCATGCTGTTCAGTTAACTTGTATCCAAAGTCATTCTTGTTAATAAAACCCAAGTTCTCTTTTCTTTGTTACCCAGAACTTTCTTTTTTTTGTCCGTCGTGGGGCTTGAACTCTGGGCCTGGGCGCTGTCCCTCAGCTCTTCAGCTCAAGGCGAGCACTCTACCACTTGAGCTACAGCGCCACTTCCGGTTTTCTGGTGGTTTATTGGAGATAGGAGTCTCATGGTCTTTCCTGCCCGGGCTGGCTTTGAACCGCAATCCTCAGATTTCAGCCTCCTGAGTAGCTAGGATTACAGGCGTGAGCCACCAGCGCCCGGCCCAGAACTTTCTTAACTTCAGGGAAGATTTGTGATTCAGAACCAAGGGCACTCAAAAGCACCAAATACAATATCAAGAGAGATGTTAAGTAAGGCATGGAGGCTCATATCCATAATACTAACTACTCAGGAAACTGAGATCTGAGAATTGTTGCAGTTCAGAGCCAGCCTAGGCAGACAAATCTTAGAAATTCTCATCTCCAAATAAACAGCAAAAAAGCTGGAAGTAGAGGCATAACTCCAATCAAATTGTAGAGCATGAGCAGTGAATGGAAAAGCCAAACAAAAGAGTCAAGGCCTGAGTTCAAGCCCTACCATCAGGAGGAGGGGAGGGAGGGAGAGAGAGGACAAAGAGAGAGAAGGGGGGGGAATGTTCAAAGTGGATGAAGCAAAATAATTTTCCTTATCAATGAACTCAAGTATTTGGATGAGCTCCCAGCAAACTTAAAAATAATAAAGAGTTGACTGCAGATACAAATGATGTATCTACTAGGATGAAAACATTATTAGAAATGGAATTCAAACACAGAAGATTAACAACAACAACAAAAAAACACCACTCACTGATACTTGGTTTAAATAAAATGGTCTTCATCGTCCTCTCCCAATTTCAATTTATGAGTTTATATAAAATGATATAGATGAAAACAAATGTAATTTCCCAACAGAGTTACTACTATTCAATCCCAGTTTGCTGATCTATGTTTGCAGTGTTGAAGAGTAAACCCTCAACATGCTAAGTGCTCTACTACTACATTCGCAGTCCTCAACCTAGTTTCTTCAACTGTCATCAAACAAAAGGATGAGAGGCATGAAGTCAGCCATGAAAGGGAATAATGTTGGCACACACAGTTCAGGCAGTTTCTGACAAATGGTACTTGTTAAAATGGTGCTTTGAGTCCCTCTGCATTTGGGAGATTTACCTACCGACTGTTTACTGTTCTCATCTTCCTCTTCTTCATATCCATCTTCATCACCCCCTAGTCGAGAAAAGTCGTCCTCACCATAGGCATCAGATACCAATCCACCTTTCTCTTCTGAGACAGGAAAATGGAGGGGGAGGGGAGGAAATGTAAAAAAAAAAAAAATCCTGTAAATTACATGGCCAGAGCTGTCTCCCAAGATAAAATGTAAACCTTTATCTCAGGTAAGGTACCAAAGGTCTAGATTATGCACTTGGGAAGACCACGATTTAGTGGATGAAATTATTAAAAGAACAAGGAAGATAAATCAAGCACTAAATTCTGATCAACTAAATTTTGAAATTCACAGCTGGGAGAAGGTGGCCCATGCTTATAATCCTAGTTATTCAGGAGGCTGAGATCGGAGGATCAGGTTCAGTGCCAGCTCAGGCATATTTGGGAGACTTTTTATCTCCAATTATAACAAAAAGCTGGAAGTGGAGGTGTGGCTCAAATGGTAGAGCACAAGAGTCTGAATTCAAGCCCTCAGTATCAGTGAGTCATATACACACATACACACACAAATACAATTACCAATCGAACAAGACACAGGCTACACACCACTCCTCATGTACATTTGTCTCCTCTCTGACTTTTCAAATAACGAGCCCAAGGAAACAGTGACATGACTGCCTTGTCCATCCTTCATCCAGCATCTTGCGAGACTTTCAGTAAGTTTCAGAAAAATGGGAGAAACAAAAATGGAGGGTTCATTCTTACTTCAGAGTCCCTAATTCTCTATCCAACCCAGTACAATGACTGCTTTTCGGGGGTCTAGCGTCCGACACATGGGGGACAATTATATCTTTTTCTCCATCCCGCCCTAACAGAGGAGCAGCCTTCCGGACAAACACCCATTCCCCCTTCCAGCTCGAGGCTCACCAGCTGCACTGCCCACAGCTTCGCCACCAGCTTCGCCATCAGACTCGGGCTCTGAATCCTCTGCGTAAACTGCCAAAGACGACAAGACATTCTTCTTCCCCGCCATCTTATTCCCACAGCCCCACGGCGGCTCAGACCTATGACTCAAACACTCACTTCCGGATGAAAAGCAAACGTTTTTCCGGATGCCAGGAGATCCCGCCCCCGGCTCCATAAAAGAAGCCAATCAAAACGGCCGCTTCTGAGCTAGACCTGCCCCGTCGTTCTAGCGCTCGTGAACGTCATCATTGCGCGACGGATGTAAGACGCGGTTTTTGCCTGACTGAACTCGGGTGCCGTTTGATTTCTGAGTTGGAGGTGGTGTCATGGGGCTTCCTTGAGCAGTTGTGGAGCCCTGCGAGAGCCTGGCCGTGCGGCTCACGAAAAACTGATGTGTTTGGTGGGAAGAGAGAGAGCCTTCGGCTGTTGACGAGAGGAAACTGTTGATTCTGCGGCTGAAGCGTGACGGCGTCGGGATGGGGGCCGGGGGGCGGCGGTCGTCATGGTTGCGCCTACAGCCGTAGAAGGTGGATCCTAGAAAAACGATTCCACGTTCGCCGAACAGTTCTGAAGACATTTTGTTCTTAGCATTTGAGTTCTAGCTCTGTGGCTTGGGATAGCTCACTGTTTTAATTTCACTAAATGTCAATCGGGAGATATTAATTATCCAGAAAGGTATTTCTTGAGGCAGCTCATTGGGAGCTTTACTATTTCAAAATAAGGTATCCAGTGTAGTGTAGCAGATTTATACTAACAGAAGAAAAATAGGCTGCATTTTAAAAGCAGTACTGAGGGTTCTCCATTCAGCCTTTCTTTACTACCTTTGCCCTAAACGTGGGGCTGCCGTTTTTTGCTAAGATGAACACCCACCTTTCGTCCACTCCCTTTGACCCTGAGCGGCGAGTTAGGAACGCATTGAAGAAGGTCTTTGGGTTTGACACTTTTAAGACACCTTTACAAGAGCGTGCGACTATGGCTGTCGTAAAAGGTAACAAGCTACCTGCTTTACATTTCTCATGGCCGTATTATAGCACTACAGCTGAACACCCTCCTAATCTTACCTATCACCTCACCCTTGGTCTATAACTGGTTTGGGAACCTTTTTTTTTTTTGGTCGGTTGAGAGGCTTGAACTCAGGGCCTGGGCGCTGTGCCCTTTTGCCTAAAGCTAGTGCTCTAACACTTTGAGCCACAGCACCACTTCCAGTTTTCTAGTGGTTAATTAGAGATAAGAGTCTCACGGACTTTCCTGACCCAGGTGGACTTGAGCCTTGATCATAGCCTCCTGTTAGAATTACAGGCATGAGAAGCCAGCACCTGGTTGGAAGATTTTTTACATGTGTCAACCAAAGCTTCCAATTTCTCCTCCCACCCCCCCTTCGGTACTGGGACCTAAACTCAGGGTGGACGCTGTCCCTCGGGGTGTGTGTGTTGGTCCTAGGGCCTGAACTCAGGGCCTAGGCATTGTCCCTGAGCTTTTTGTACTCAAGGCTAGCACTCTACCACTTTAAGTCACAGTGTCATTTCCAACATTTTGATAGTTAATTGGAGAGAAGAGTCACAGACTTTACTGGCCTGACTGACTTCAGATCTCAACTTCTTGAATAGCTAGAATTACAGGCATGAGCCATTTGCACCCACCCCTAAAAAGCTTCTGGTTTTAATTGCAGGACCTCCTCGCTGTGCTGGTTATCTGGTTATTACTTTCATAGCCAGATCTACAAATTGTCTTTGAAAACTGTTGCTAGTTTTCCATTCTAGTTTCTTTGTAAGCAGTAGCACAGGTGGCCACACTAGCCTTGTCTTGCCTAGTCATTGAATCTTCTATTAAAGTTTAATCTGGGTTCCAGAGGTGACTCAGTGACTCATGGAGCAGTAGGGCAATTGCAATGACTTTTTTTTTTTTTTTGCTAGTCCTAGGGCTTGAATTCAGGGCCTGGGCACTGACCCTGAGCTTCTTTTGCTCAAGGTTAACACTATACCTCTTGAACCACAGTGCTGTTTATGTGGTACTGAGGAATTGAACTTAGGGCTTCATGCGTGCTAGGCAAGCACTCTACCACTAAGCCATATTCTCAGCCCTTAAGTGACACTTATAATGACCTCTGAGTGAGGTCCTTGTATGTCTGTACTGTAGTTACCTCCTTCCTAGCATTATTCTTTCATGGCTGTTTAGTTCCATTATCCACACAGTAGATTTAGACTTCTTTTGTTGTTGTTTTGTCTTTTTTTTGGTGCTAAGGATGTTGCACTTGCCACTGAGCTACATCCCAGCTCTTACCTTTGTTTTTAAAACAATTACCAGAAATAGTTTGCATGCATCTTCAAACTTCCCAGGACCCCTGCCTATTCAAAGACAGGAAATACAATATTGAGACCCCATGTGCCAAACACTCTGCTAGGTACTTTTCCAATATTAACATTTAATTTTCAACAACCTTGAAAGTATTGAGTATGTTATCTGTTGTATTTTTTTAGGTGACAAGGATGTCTTTGTGTGCATGCCCACAGGAGCAGGAAAATCCCTTTGCTATCAGCTTCCTGCCGTGTTAGCCAAAGGCATCACCATTGTAATCTCTCCTCTCATTGCTTTGATTCAGGTGAGGCTGTTTGGATTTATTCTAAAATGGTATGGGGAAGGGTTTTTATAGCTAGAAATTTCACTTCTCCTTTTCCTTTTTTTGGTCCTTGTCTCTTATTTTCTCTGATTTGCCTATATCACTGTCTATATTGAACTTTTGAATTCCCCAGTCATAGGGTCTTTCACTAGTGCATATCACTGGTATGTCATAAAGGAGTCTTCTGTATTTTGATAGCCTGAAATAACTCACTTTCCTCTTTTCATTATTTAGAGGTGTATGGAAGACTGTACCTATTCATTTACATAAGCACTCATAAAGGTACAGGATTATAGGTAGCTAAATTGACACGGGAACCCCTAGTATTCTATTTTAGTTTGGACAAGCTAAAACTGGAAAACTGCTACTGCATTGGTATGTGCAATGCGAGGGAGGGCAGTGAGGAAGGTGAGAAACTGGTAGGGACCTGGTTAATATTTGCTCTGCAGATGTTCTGTTTTTAGTGCTACACATGTAGGCTGATAGAATCAGAATTGAGGAAGAATGTTTATGTATTTATAAACCCATCTGCTGTAAAGAAAAGTAAATGGGAAACAACAGTAGTACATAGCAAATGCTCATTAGGTCTCAGGCTTTGTGCTACATGCTTTGTATACATTCATTTCACCTTTGGGGTATATTTTATTCTTAAGTCATTATTTGTAGAAGGGGAGGAAAGAAGGGAGAAAGGGGAAGGAAGGTATAAAAGGGTAACTGAGTGAAATCTGAGTCTTAGAGGTTAAAAATCAGAGAGCTTGAAACAATTAAATGAGCTAAGATCAGATCTGAATCTGACCCTAGAGCCTCTCCTCTCAATCATTTTACCCTCTGTACTTCTGGTCAAAGAGAAGACACTGAAGGGTGGGTGAGGCCATTTTATGACTGGGAAAGCACCCAAGGATGTGCATTGATCTTTACCATTGAGGTTCTGAGAGCCAATTGTCCCCCAGTTTGGATGCATCTCTTTCTGCCTTCAGGACCAGGTGGACCACTTGTTGGCCCTAAAGATAAAAGTGAGTTCCCTGAACTCGAAACTGTCAGCACAGGAGAGGAAGGAGCTGCTCTCTGACCTGGAGCAAGAAAAGCCTCGGACCAAGCTTTTGTACATCACTCCAGAGATGGCAGCCTCAGCATCCTTCCAACCCACCCTGAATTCCCTTTTGTCCCGCCACCTGCTCTCTTACTTGGTGGTGGATGAAGCTCATTGTGTTTCTCAGTGGGGACATGACTTCCGCCCTGACTACTTGAGGTTGGGTGCCCTGCGTTCCCGCTTAGCAAATGCCCCATGTGTGGCTCTGACTGCCACAGCTACCCCACAGGTTCAAGAGGATGTGTTTGCTGCACTGCACTTGAAACAACCAGTGGCCTCTTTCAAGACTCCCTGCTTCCGGGCCAACCTCTTCTATGATGTGCAATTCAAGGAACTGATTCTTGATCCTTATGGAAACCTGAGAGACTTCTGCCTGAAGGCCCTAGGACAGAAGGCTGGTGAAAAGGTAAGGTACTTGGGTTGAGAAGCCAAAATGCTATCTGCAGCATACAGATCTTGTTCAAAGGCCTTTATTTTTCATGGCTTTCTTAGCCAGGCTTCTTAAGACTTGTGCACAAAGAAAATTGTCTCTTTTATTACCTGACATTGCCCTCCTAAAGGGGGATCTATGGTCCCAGGTGTTTCTGTAGGAGGCAAGCAGGCAATCCATATGAAGCCTTGGTAGAACTACACAAGGTTTCCATAGAGGAGGCAAAGGTGGGGGCTGGGAAGGTGGCTCAGCAGTAGAGCACTTAACTTGCATGCATGACGCCCTGGGTTCGATTCCTCAGCACCACATAAGCAAAAAGAAAAAAAAAGCCACAAGTGGTGCTGTGGCTCAAGTGATAGAGCGCTAGCCTTGAGCTGAAGAGCTGAGAGATAGCGCTCAGGCCCAGAGTTCAGGCCCCATGCCCAGACCCCCCAAAAAAAAGAGGAGGCAAAGGTGTAAGAATGTTAGATTTTGGCTGGGCGCTGGTGGCTCATGCCTGTAATCCTAGCTACTCAGGAGGCTGAGATCTTAGGATTGCGGTTCAAAGCCAGCCCGGGCAGGAAAGACTGTTAGACTCCTGTCTCCAATAAACTACCAGAAAACCAGAAGTGGTGCTGTAGATCAAGTGGTAGAGCGCTGGCCTTGAGCTGAAGAGCTGGGACAGCGCTCAGGCCCAGAGTTCAAGCCCCATGACCGGCAAAAAAAAAGTTGGATTTTGGCTGCTTTGTCTTGCTTTTTTTTTTTTTTTTTTAATTTTGTTTCAGAACTTGGGCTTGAATTCTAGGGCCTGGGTGCTGCCCCTGAGTTTTTTTGCTCAAAGCTGGCACTCTACTACTTGAGTCACAGCCCCACTTCTGAATTTTTTGGTAGTTAATTGGAGATAAGAGTCTTGCGGACTTTCCTGCCTGGGCTGGTTTCAAACATTGGACCTCAGATCTTAGCTTCCTGAATACAGGCTTGAGCCACCAGCACCTAGCTTGGTCCTGCTTTTTTTTTTTTTCTTTTTGGTTGGTCATTGCGCTTGAACTCTGGGCCTGGGCGCTGTCCCTGAGCTCTCCAGCTCAAGGTGAGCACTCTACCACTTGAACCATGGTGCCACTTCTGGTTTTTCTGGTGTTTAATTTAACATAAGAGTCTCACGAACTTTCTTTTTTTTTTTTTTTGGTCGTGGGGCTTGAACTCTGGGCTTGGGCACTGTCCCTCAGCTCTTCAGCTCAAGGCGAGCACTCTACCACTTGAGCTACAACGCCACTTCCGGTTTTCTGGTGGTTTATTGGAGATAGGAGTCTCATGGTCTCTCCTGCCTGGGCTGGCTTTGAACCACGATCCTCAGATCTCAGCCTCCTGAGTAGCTAGGATTACAGGCATGAGCCACCAGCGCCCGGCTAAGAAATTGTGCAGTTACTTTTTTTGTGGTGGGGGGGCGGTCGTGGGGCCTGAACTCTGGGTCTGGGTGCTGTCCCTCAGCTCTTCAGCTCAAGGCTAGCACTCTACCACTTTGAGCCACAGCACCACTACCGGCTTTTTTTTTCCTTTTTGCTGATGTGGTGCTGAGGAATCGAACCCAGGGCCTCAGGCATGCAAGGCAAGCACTCTACCACTGAGCCACCTTCCCAGCCCTCTCACAAACTTTCTTGCCCAGGCTGACTTCAAACTGCGATCCTCAGATCTCCGCCTCATGAGTAGCTAGGGTTACAGTTGTAAGCCACTGGTGCCCGGCACTCCTGCTTTTTAATAAAGTAATGAGCCCTCTTGGGTGTCCTGACTCAGAGGAGATTAGGAAGTTTATAAGAGCACCGTGCCTTAAAACAGGTTGCATTATGGTGGACTGATTATTCTGTTCTTCCCTGCTTGTTATCTTCCTGTTCAGTTGTCTGGCTGTGGCATTGTCTACTGTAGGACTAGAGAGGCTTGTGAACAGCTGGCCATTGAGCTCAGCAGCAGGGGTGTGAATGCCAAGGCCTACCATGCAGGTAAGAGTGCCCACATTCTGTGGTCTTCTTCACTGTCACAGATCTCAGATAGTCTATTACCTTTTTACAAATTCCCACACAGAGATAAAGTGGCTCACTTAAATCTACCAAAGTTGTCTAGACATGAATGTGCTCCCTACTGAGAGTTGTGACTCTTGAATTCTTTTTCCTACTCTGTGTCCACCCATTAGCAGGTGATAAGTTTTTTTTTTTTTTGGGGGTCCGGTTGTGGGGCCTGAACTCTGGGCCTGGGCGCTGTCCCTCAGCTCTTCAGCTCAAGGCTAGCACTCTACCACTTGAGCCACTTCTGGCTTTTTTCTTATGTGGTGCTGAGGAATCGAACCCAGGGCCTCATGCATGCAAGGCAAGCGCTCTACCACTGAGCCACCTTCCCAGCCCTGATAAGTTTTTATAAGCTTAAGTATTATAAAAGTCAGGTTGGAAGAGCATAGGCTTTGGAAACCAGTACACTTAGGTTTGAATCTTGGCTCTAATATTTATTGACTACTTTGTCACACATGGGCTAAGGTCTTTATGTTTATTAACTGTGAGACTGTGAAGTTAAATGCTTGGTACAAAGTCATATAGCCAGAAGGGATGGATACAGGATATGTGGAGAGTGCCCAGGACAGTATCATACTCAAAATAAACACCCAAGGTAAATCCATGGAAAATGTGAGTTCCTTTTACCACCTTCACCTTCTTTCCAGGGCTGAAGGCTTCTGATAGGACTCAGGTACAAAATGAGTGGATGGAGGAGAAGGTCCCAGTAATTGTTGCAACCATCAGTTTTGGAATGGGAGTGGACAAAGCCAATGTCAGGTGAGCTGTAGTTCTTGCCTTATGTTCCCTGTTGGGGCCTGGCTCATGGTTTACTTCCTCATGCTCTGCACAAAGGACCAAGCCCATGTGGTCTGTGTAGTGCCATGGAGAAGGGAGCTGACAGGAAGGAGTCCCTATTACTGTCCTGAATTCTTGTTGATTTCTATGTGGAATGCTTGGTTCTGCCATCTTTAGGAAGGAGAGCAATGCAGATTTTTAAATTTGTCCATTAACAGAAGCCAGTTCACTCCCATCTTTCAGTTGGACCCTGGAATGAAGTAACTTTTAAATTAATACCTATAGAAAGGCAAAGACAAAAGTCTTCTTGTCATCCTTAGTTACTACTTTCAGATAGTCTGTAGAAGGGGTGGGCTTATCCCAGCTTCCTAGCCCTACTCTGACAACTGTCAGGAAGTTTGTTTCCTCCATTCCCTACCTGACCTTGGGGAAACAGTTTGGGCTATAGCCTGAAGCCCTTTCTCCTAAAGCCAACCAGTAATGCCCTGTATGTTTTTTGTTTGTTTGGTTTTTTTTTTGGCGGTTGTGGGGCCTGAACTTTGGGCCTGGGTGTTGTCCCTCAGCTCTTCAGCTCAAGGCTAGCACTCTACCACTTTGAGCCACAGCGCCACTTCTGGCTTTTTCTGCTTATGTGGTACTGAGGAATTGAACCCAGGGCCTCATGCATGCAAGGCAAGCACTCTACCACTGAACCACCTTCCCAGACCTGCCCTGTATGATTTACACAACATTTTTACATACATGATGTATGTCATATACATGATGTATGTCACTGTGACATTGGGTAAGAATTAGTTGGTATAGTATATTTGAAAGAACACCAACTGTAGAATCATAGGATTAATCCCTGGCCTGTGGTGGCTTGTTAGGAGCCAACTTTGAAGTCAGACACCCTTTGGTTCAAATCCTAGCTCTAGTTTCCCCTTACTGTGTCACCTTGTACAAATTTACCTCTGTGAATACAAGTTTATCATTTGTAGAATGGATTCTTCACATGATAGTAACTAAAAAAAGGCAAATCTACAAACTGGCTCATAGTAGGTATTTAATAAATATTATCCCTTCCTCATTATTATTCAAAGAAGGTATAAAGGACTTAAGTAGTGTCATTCAGTTTTAGAAGTCTCAAGAGTCTAATTTTCTTTTAAGGTGGTATTTATTCCTCTGGCTATGAGGTTGGCTTTTTTGTTGTTGTTGGGTGTTTTTGGTCATGGGGCTTGAACTCTGGGCCTGAGTGCTGTCCCTTAGCTCTTCAGCTCAAGCACTCTACCACTTCAGCCACAGTGCCACTTCCAGTTTTCTGGTGGTTTATTGGAGATAAGAGTTTCACAGACTTTCCTGCCCTGACTGGCCTGAACCAGGATCCTCAGTTCTCAGTTTCCTGAGTAGCTAGAATTGCAGGCGTGAGCCACCAACACCAGCTTTTTATTTTTTTTTAGTCATGGGGCTTGAACTCAAGGCCTGGACACTGTCCCTGGGTGTTCTCACTCAGGGCTAATCCTCTATCACTTTGAACAACATCTCTACTTCTAATTTTCTAGTGGTTAAGAGGTAAAAGTTTCAGGGACTTTCCTAATTGGACTGGCTTTGAACCGTGATCTTCAGATCTCAGCCTCTTGAATAGCTAGGATTACAGGCATGAGACATTGGCACCTAGCTTAGAATTTCCTTCTTAATGCTGCAGTAGCCTCTAAGTTGGGCTGCTTCATGGCAAAGAGACCTGCCAGTGGGATTCAGGTGTACTAGTCAGCTTCCTCTGGCTTCCTCTGGGATCTTCTTTGCTTCCTTATGTGTTTTTAGCCTCTCTGCACCTGGCTGCTGTGAAGGAAGTCCTGCTCTATCTACTCAGCATGCTCCCTGGGGCACTCAGCTCTACCACCACACCTCATGCTGCTTATCCTTTTGGATCCATAGGTTCGTTGCCCACTGGAATATTGCCAAATCAATGGCTGGGTACTACCAGGAATCTGGCCGAGCTGGCAGGGATGGGAAGCCTTCTTGGTGCCGTCTCTATTACTCTAGGAATGACCGGGACCAAGTTAGCTTCTTGATCCGGAAAGAAATAGCAAAGCTTCAGGTAAAGGTTCACTCTTTCTTTTCTCTTTCTTTCTTTCTTTTTTTCTTTCTTTCTTTCTTTCTCTCTCTCTCTCTCTCTCCTCCTTTCTCTTTCTTTCTCTCTCTTTCTTTTCTTTTTTCTTCTTTTTCTTTTTTGCTGGTGCTTGAACTCTGGGTGCCTTCCCTGGGCTCCTTTTTTGCCCAAGGCTAGCACTCTTATTACTCGATCCACAGTGCCACTTCCAGCTTTTTGTGTGATTAATTGGAAATAAGAGTTTTTTTTTTTGGTCGGTAGTGGGGCTTGAACTCTGGGCTTTGGGCACTGTCCCTCAGCTCTTCAGCTCAAGGTGAGCGCTCTACCACTTGAGCTACAGTGCTACTTCCGGTTTCCCGGTGGTTTATTGGAAATAGGAGTCTCATGGTCTCTCCTGCCCGGGCTGGCTTTGAACCACGATCCTCAGATCTCAGCCTCCTGAGTAGCTAGGATTACAGGCGTGAGCCACCAGCGCCCGGCTGGAAATAAGAGTTTCATGGAAGGCTGGGAAGGTGGTTCAGTGGTAGAGTGCTTGCCTTGTATGCCTGAGGCCCTAGGTTCGATTCCTCAGCACCACATAAGCAAAAAAGAAAAAAGCCAGAAGTGGCGCTGTGGCTCAAGTGGTAGAGCGCTAGCCTTGAGCTGAAGAGCTGAGGGACAGCGCCCAGGCCCAGAGTTCAGGCCCCATGACCGAACCCCCCCAAAAAAAAAAAAGTTTCATAGAATTTCCTGCCCAGGCTGGCTTTGAACCATGATCCTCAGATTTCAGCCTCCTGAGTAGCTAGGATTAAAGGTGTGAGCCACCGGTGCCCAGCTACAAAAAGCAATTAAAAGGAAATTTTGGTAAACAGACATATAGAAAAGGCTAGGGATGTATAAGCCAGTCACTCTAACTGTTAATGTTGAAGCATGTGCACTCTTGTATATATATTAGCAAGTATGAACTCTGAAAAGCTCCAGTCCCAGGAAGTATGATTCAGTAATCTGGAGATTCTGATGCATAGTTAGGTGTAGAGACACCACTAGTAAATGGCCTTATCAATATCCTTTAACATTTTCCTGTCTCATTACTTTTGGAGGTGACAAAATAGTGACTGTAAGACTAAGTGGCTGTTTTCTCTCTCCAGGAAAAGAGAGGGAACAAAGCATCTGATAAAGCCACCCTCTTGGCCTTTGATGCCTTGGTGACCTTCTGTGAGGAATTAGGGTGAGTGACTTACTTTGCATGTGAAACAAAGTATCATTTCCTTCTCTAGCACCTATTTACTCTACCAGCTAATTAAGTAAGGTAAGATAGCTCTTGGGCCATTATATTGAGTAACATGGAAGTCACTTCCTTCTGGAGACCTCAGAAACTCTTCACAGTGAGGTTGGGCATGATGGATCACAGCTATAATCGTAGCTACTGGGAAGGCAGAAGTTGGACCAGGTTTAAGGCCAGCCCACAAAGCAAGACCACATCTCAACCAAAAGAGCTGTATGTGATAATACACAGCTGTAACCCTAAATGTGTGGGAAGCATTAAGTAGAAGGATTGTGGCCCAGGCCAGGTGGGACAAAGCAGTTAGGCACCAGGGACTTATGCCTATAATCCTAGTTATTCAGGAGACTGAGATCTGAGGATTGAAGTTCAAAGCCAGCCCTGGTAGGAAAAAGTCCTTAAGACTCTTATCTCCAATTAGCCACCAAAATAACAGAAGTGGAGCTGTGGCTCAAAGTGTTAAAGTGTTAGCCTTGAGTGAAAAAGCTCAGGGACAGTGCCTAGGTTCTGAGTTCAAGCCCCTCAACTGACAAAAAGAAAAAGCAAAAGGACTGGGGTATATGGTTGAATTGATAGAGTGCTGACCTAGCAAAACTGCTAAAAACAAAACAAAAAACCTGGAAACTGGCAATGTGAGGGTTTGTTCACATCTTGGGTGGTCATCCATTTTCCTACTCTACTCTATTCCAAGCAACTCAGTCCTGAGTTATGTGGCCAGCTCTGAGCCACTGGCATTGTGATCATCACATGCTACTGAGCTGGGACTTGTGGCTTTATTTGAGTAGAACTGATTCTTGTCTAGGTCTCAAACAGAGCATGTGACCCACTTACCTCTGGGGTGGGGCTGGGGTTTAACATGCTTCAAAGAGAACAGCCTTTCTAATGGAATGGCAGCCTGCCCACATGGTATCCACTTATCTAGTTGTCTGCATCTCTGGCAATGGGATGACGGCCATGGAAAAAGCCAACAGCTGCTTGGGACAGGTGTGTGTCTGTGCACATGTAGTGGGGGGGGGGGTGACGCCTCTATGTGAGGAAAACCCTGGGGGATTCTGTATGCTTTGGTCTAAAATGGTCATGCATCAGATCTCATGGAGTAATCCTGAGAGGATATGAACAGAAGTGGTGGCCTCAGACTGAGAGATGAATAAACCAAGCTTGGAGAGGTCATGTTCACAAAAGCTCATGAGAGACAGAAGCCTCTAAAAACTTGGGCCTCTCATTTCATGCATGTATCATCTTTAATTAAGTCTCTTCTTTGTCCCCCCCCCCCCGTCTTTTTCGTTTTGGTCTGGTTCTGTGGTTCTGGAGATTGAACCCAGGACCTCTTGTATGCTAGGCTAGTGCTCCATCACTAAGCTGCATCTCCACCTCTCCATGACTGTATTTTTTTTTTTGTCAGTCATGGGGCCTGAACTCTGGGCCTGAGCGCTGTCCCTCAGCTCTTCAGCTGAAGGCGAGTGCTCTACCACTTGAGCCACAGCACCACTTCCGGCTTTTTCTGCTTATGTGGTGCTGAGGTATCCAACCCAGGGCCTCATGCATGCAAGGCAAGCGCTCTACCACTGAGCCACTTTCCCAGCCCCCATGACTGTATTCTTGAAGCAGGGTACCAAGTACATAGTACTGGTATCTAGCAAACATTTGGGCTCTCCTGTGAAAGCCAGGGACATACTTACTTGAGCTCTCTGTTTGCATTTCCATCTCCCTCCAACCCACTGATGAGTTAGTGGCTTCTGGAATGAGTTATTTCTAAAAACGGCCATCTCTAATTTGGCCTCTGTGGCAGGACCACTCCCAGAAAAATGTGGTGGGCTGAGGTGCCAGGCTTACCCTTCCTATGCCCATTGCCAGCAGAACCCTTTTTAGGCTCCGGTAGAGAGAATTGCTAAATTTGGTTTTGGGCTCTGTGAACAGAGAGCTCTCACTTCTGGTGAGGAATGAAAGGACCTAGTGTGCTTGCTAATTGTCAAGAGTGCCCTCTGCTGGGGAAAAACCTTGCTCATTCCTGTCAGGCTTTGGAGGTTAGAACCTCCAGGAAAGGGGGACATGTCCTCCATGGGGCCTCTGACCATATTTCTTTGAGACTTGTAGGCTGGTTGGGGTTGTGCGGTCCAGGTATCTGTGGGACCAAGGAGTCCAAGGGAAAGCTTACCCTGCACATGTGTAGCCTGTCCCTCCTTGTTGGTTACTAACACATCCCAGGATTCCCAGGCCCTGGGCTCAGTAGACCTGGTGGCATGTCTGTATTGGCCCCTTCTCTTTGAGTGAAAAGGACTATTTTTATTGTTTTATTGGGTTGTTTTTTTTTTAATGGTATAAATGGTGTGAAGGACGAAGGGGGAAAAACACCTTTTCTTTTTTTTTTGGGAGGGGGGTCTGGTAGTGCGGCCTGAACTCTGGGTCTGGGCACTGTCCCTCAGCTCTTCAGCTCAAGGCTAGCGCTCTACCACTTGAGCCACAGCGCCACCTCCAGCTTTTTTTTCTTTTTGCTTATGTGGTGCTAAGGAATCGAACCCAGGGCCTCAGGCATGCAAGGCAAGCACTCTACCACTGAGCCATCTTCCCAGCCCAAACACCTTTTCTTGATTGTCAAATAATTTGTTCCTTTTTTAAAGCATAGTTCTGGTTTGAGGTCATTTCCCTTAGGGCAGGTACCTTGCAGAAGGACAGAGCTGTGGGGTGGACTCGGCTGAGATGAGGTATTTCATGTAATGAAGTTGTGTTGGTACTGGAGGTCATGCCTGTAATCCTAATTTCTTGGTAGGCTGAGATATGAGAATCATGGTTCAGCGTCAGCCTGGGCAGCCAAATACATGAGATTTATTTCTAATTAACCAGTATAAAGCCATGGAGCTATGGTTCAAATAGTAGAGTGCCAGCCTTGAGCAGAAAAAGCTAAGGGAGGGCTGGGAAGGTGGCTCAGTGGTAGAGCACTTGTCTTGCATGCCTGAGGCCCTGGGTTCGATTCCTCAGCACCACACAAGCAAAAAGAAAAAAGCCGGAAGTGGTGCAGTGGCTCAAGTGGTAGAGGGCTAGCCTTGAGCTGAAGAGCTGAGGGACAGCGCCCAGGTCCAGAGTTCAGGCCCCACAACCGTACCCAAAAAAAAGCTAAGGGAGCACCTAGGCCTTGAGTTCAAGCTCAGTACTGGCACAGAAAATAAAATGAAATTGTAATAGGGAGCTGAAGTGTTAGGGTACGATTCTGGGAAGGGGAAGAGGGAAGGTCTAGGACCAGACCAACAGAAAAATACTCAAGCTCAGAAATAAGAGCAAGGTCGGCAGCCAGCAGGTCTCATCTCTACACTTGTCTTTTATCTCCACACCTCAGATATGAAAAAACATTATGCTTGGCAGAGGAGTTTTAGCTGTTAGTATTTTAGGAACAGCTACTAGACTTGAAGCAGCCTCTGGCCTGGAAGCCTGGACACTTGAGATACGAGAAGAGCTTTGCATTTAGGCTTAGGCTGAATTGTCTTGTGGGGCTCTGAGTTGGGGAGCCCAATAGCCTAGCATGCTCCTGTTCACCATCTCTGTGCTCCTTTGCTTATTCATTCACTAATTTAGCCAGCAGATATTGATACCAACTCCGCCATGTCCACTGGCCCTGGGGATACAATGGGGGCCTTGGTCCTAAGGAAAAGACAGGCACACTTCATCAATGGCTTTGAAGAAAAAGTGCATGGTATTTTGGAGAGTATGTAGTAGGTGGCTCAAACCCAAGCATGCGGGTCATGAAGGTTTACTTGAGGAAGGCAGATTTACACACTGAGAGCTGAAGGATAAGAAAGCATTCACGACAGAGAGCATCTGATTCAAATGGGAGCAACATGAGTGGAGCCCCATACAGGAGAGAACATGGCATGTTCTGGAACTGAAGGTCATCTTGAGAACAGGAGTGTGTACCACACCCCACTGAGACTTGCAGACCTCTGTGAGGTTGGCTGGGAAAGTTAGCTGGCTACCACATCTAGATAGAAAATAAGCTCTAGCTACTCAGGAGACTGAGCTCTGAAGATCGTAGTTCAAAGCCAGCCCAGGCAAGAAAGTCCGTGAGATTCTTATCTCCAGTTAACCCCCATAAAACTGGAAGTGGCACTGTGGCTCAAGTGGTAGAGCACTTACCTTGAGCTGAAGAGCTCAGGGACAGTGCCCAGGCCCAGAGTAGAAGCTCCACGACCAACCAAAAAAGAAAAGGAGGGCTCACAAGTTAGCAGATTAGAAAAGGATTTTTTTTTTACTTCAGTGATTTTTTTTTTTGTCCTCTTCTGTTGAGGATTTATGAAGTTGCTGTTAGTTGCTTCGTAGTCATCACTGTCTTTACCCAAAGCACAGAAGAGGCCCTCTTCATATGCTTCCCAGAGTTGTGGTGGCAGCAGGGATAGGAGATGCAGAACCAGTATTAGACCAGTCTCCCTCTCTAGCTATCTGGCCATCCCTTAAGCCAGATCCAGTATATATGACTAGACTCTCCTGGCAAGGTAAGATCACAACAGGGATTTAGGCCCTGAGTCAGGGACCAGAGGGGCCACCATCTGTATGAGGTGAACAAGTCAAGTCACCTGTAACCCACTGCCTTCTGGCCCCCAGGAAGTCAGGTCACTCCTCTTCATATGCTTTCCTCTCCGACGGAGAGAAAAAACCAAACAGAACAGCAAACAAGATGAAGAACAGGAATGTGCCAACAAACAAGCCGATGACTACAAGGCCCCCTACTTCCCAGGGGTTCTCCCAGAATTCTTCCTTCCACAAGTCCTTGTAGAATATTATTTGGCGCATCTTAACCTGGAAAAAAAGGGACAGAGGCTCTGAGTGCAGGGAGCCCCTCAAGGCCCTGTTCCTGGTGCTGTTCTTCATGCCACCAACCTCAAGCTTTGTGGCAGACAGAGTGAACAGCTAGCCATCTCTGTGGCCAGTGGATACTAAGGGGCTGGTCAATTTTGAGCTCAAAGTTCCCCGCAAGCAATAAATGGAGTTTCTTCTGAGGGCCCCACTGTCGTCTGTTGCTGCTTTTGGAATCTACTCATTTCCTCAAGTCACCCTTGTGGACAGTGAGATGACTTTCCCATCCCTGAGACCTGCTCAGCTACAATCTAAAAGTACCATTTCAGGTCTTCTCTGTTTTTTCTGTCCCAGTGGGGAGCATTTAAGAACTGAGCATAGGAACCCAGTCACATACAGCAGTGTGTGCCTACAGTTCCATCTACTTGGAAAGTTGAGGCTAAAGGATTGCTAGAGTTCAGTTCCAGGCCAGCCTGAGGTACATAGAGACTGTCTCAAAAAAAAAAAAGTGTGATTTTGCTGAGGAGAAGCTGAGTCCTTGGTAATGCCTTGCAAACAGAAGGTCCATCTGTCTTCTGGAAATGGAGCCAGTAACGGCAAAATACCTGAGCCAGGTAAAGGATTAACAGAGGAAGAAGAAAGGAGCTGTTACCTGTTTTTGCTGCTAATGGTTCCGTGCCTTGAGAGCAAATCAAGGTTATCCTCCAGGTCCTACACGTCAATGAGCCTAAGCTGAAGAGCCTGCCAGGTGACCAGAACTGTAGTCTACTCACAGAAGTGACTGTTGAGAGGCAAAGCCTTTGACATTGCCAAGCAGCCCAGACTTATCATTGCTGCCAACAAAGCAAACAGAGGTGGGCCAAGGCCAGTTGCCTGGCAACCACTGCTCCCTTTCTGCCTTTCATATTCTCCTCTGCTGTGTTCTGTCCCTTTGTGATGTCGTCGTGGAGGTGCTCAGGGCATGGGTGAAGGCATCTTTGAGCACCTCCACAACCATCCACCTCACCTGGGCACACATTGGCTTTGGCTCTCAGGCTACTGACCTGTTGACTGAGAGGACCTGTCTAGCACGCAGGAAGCCCTGGGGCCAAGACTGCCACCTGGCATCACTTCCTGTGGTGTGGGTGAATGATTAACCGCAGCTACGTCTGGTACCTCCTGGAACCAAGTTCTGGGCGGTAGTGTTTATCACCTTTGGAGCCTACTGTCTCCCTGGTACTGCACAGCGTCAGTGACTGTGTGTGGTTGGTTCCTACCCCTTGGTGTGACAGGGAAGCTAGTAAGGGAATAAAGCAGGTACCCTGCTCTTGAAACCTGGTGCCCACCTTTGACTTCTTTAAAAGCTAGTCTATAGCCAGGTACTATTAGTTCATGCCTGTAATCCTAGCTACTCAAGAGGCGGGGATCTGAGGAGCATGGTTTGAAACTAGCCTGGGCAGAAAAGTCTCCATGAGATTCTTATCCATCACTCAAAAACTGGAAGTGGCACTGTGGCTCAAAGTGGTAGAGTGCTAGCCTTGAGCAAAAGGGACAGCATCCAGGCCCTGAATTCAAGCCCCACAATCGACAACCCCCCCCCCCAAACAAACAAACAAAACTAGGCTGTGTGGGTCTTCTATTGCCAGGAACTGCCAGGTACTGTGTCCAGTCATGAGACAAGAGAGGTAGGCCTTGGCTTCTAGCCCAGTTCTGCTTGTTTCCACACGGGAGCTTTGACAGTCTCTGGGATGTCAGGATGCTGTGCCAGGTGACTTTCTCCAGGTGTCTGTTGCCAGGGGTAGCTGACAGGTGATGACTACTTCAGTGGAGCATTCTAAACTCTGGGCTGAGCTGAGGCCTGGCTAGGCTGATGCTTTCCTTTTCCTGTGTAAAACTTGCTGACTAACTTCCTTGGCATGCTGAATGTGCACAGCGAGTAGCGTGCTGGCCTCTGGCACACCCTGGCACTTCTGTTCCATCAGTTCAGTCAGAGGCTGATCAAGAGTCACTTGTGTTCTCAAACCAGTTTGTGGTGGTCATGCTTGTTTGTTATAATTACATAATTGAATGTAACATCTAATAAACAAGTGAAACAAGTCCAATTTTCTAGACAGGGACAGACTCAGAGGTGAAATATTCTTATCCAAGGTCATTCAGCTAAGAAGTAATAACTGGGTTGGAGTGTAGAGCCAGGTGCCCAGAGCCTAAGCTCTGAGGTGCTATGCTGTACTTCAGAGTGAGTGGGCAAACAGAACTTTTTTCTGGGGCTGGGAAGGTGGCTCAGTGGTAGAGCGCTTGCCTTGCAATGCATGAGGCCCTGGGTTCGATTCCTCAGCACCACATAAGCAAAAAAAAAAAAAAGCCCAAAGTGGCGCTGTGGCTCAAGTGGTGGAGCGCTCGCCTTGAGCTGAAGAGCTGAGGGACAGCGCCCAGGCCCAAAGTTCAGTGCTCACAACCGGACCCAAAAAAAAAAGGGGGGGCTGGGAATGTGGCTCAGTGGTAGAGCGCTTGCCTTGCATACCTGAGGCCCTGGGTTTGATTCCTCAGCACCACATAAACAAGAAAAAAGCCAGAAGTGGCGCTGTGGCTCAAGTGGTAGAGCGCTAGCCTTGAGCTGAATTGCTGAGGGACAGTGCCCAGGCCCAGAGTTCAAGCCCCACGACCGGACCAAAAAAAAAAAAAGAACTTTTTTCTGTAAATACCACTAGAACTACTTTGGAATAGCTTTGTAATCACACAATATTCCTGTCGAAAGAAATGAGATGTGACAACTAAGCGTTATGCACATCTTATTAAAATCCAGTGGCACCTCATACTCTTGATTCTTTTGCAGTTTTTTTTTTTTTGGTCCGGTTGTGGGGCTTGAACTGTGGGCCCGGGCGCCGTTCCTCAGCTCTTCACTCTACCACTTGAGCCACAGCACCACTTCCGGCTTTTTCTGCATATGTGGTACTGAGGAATAGAACCCATGCAAGGCAAGCATGCTACCACTGAGCCACCTTCCCAGCCCCTCGTTCTGCTCTAATGAAAACACCAATATAAATACAGCAGGAATGCTGTTCAGCAGCCCACAGTTAGAGCAAAGTCACAGCTGGCCTCATCCCGAAAGGGAACGGGATATGTATGTTTGTCCTTCAAATAAGGTGTATAAAGAATGTATGTCACACACAGGAAAGTTGCTTTTACTGGATTTTTCAACTAGCTGTTGTCCCCAAGTGGGTAATTCTGCTTTCAGAGAATGGCATGCTGGAGCCAGGAGGAGAATATAGGCCCAAGTGGTGTAGCTTGTTGTGTGTGTGGAAAGAGTTCCTCTCCTCAGAGGATGTGTAAGTGGAGGGTGTGTAAATAGATGTGTAAGTGGAGGATGTGTAAATGGATGTGTAAGGGGAGATGTGAAGGCTACATGAGAGTTGAAATGGAGAAAACTGTTTTTAGGAACAATTTGTTCTCCGGGTTTGTTTTTGAGATTTTTACTTTGTTTTCGTGCTAGTCCTGGGCACTGTCCAAAGCTTTTATGCTTAAGGTTAGCACTCTACCATTTGAACCAAGTCTCTACTTCAGGCTCTTTGCGGTTAATTGGAGATAAGAGTCTCATGGACTTTTCTCTCTGGATTGGCTTCCAACCACAATCCTCAGGTCTCAGCCTCCTGAGTAGCTAGGATTCAGGCATGAGCTACTGGCACCTGACCATTTGAAGATTTTTATTGTAGATTGCTTTAACATGTTAATTTTTAAGCTAATAGATTAGGAGAAAACCTTTCTATGCGCTGCCCAAGTTTTGCTAACAAGATTCTTGCCTCAATAGCTTTATTATGGCTTGTAATAAGGTTACTATGCAGACGATAAGCATACAGATTTGCAGAGTAGTGTGAGCATAACCCTTTTGAGGAACTGGGAGCAGACAACTGGTGGTGCACAAGCCACATTCAGAGAGTAGGGGGGTGGGGAGGCTGGTGAGAGCGCTGTGCACTAAGGTGGTGTGGTCTGGGTGCTGTGGGGCAGTAACACTCGATCTTTCTCCAGGCTTGCAGCAGCCTACTGCGTCTTCCTTTGTGGCCATCACCCATCTTCAGGCAACAGGCTTATAGCAGCGTTCTGTTTATTTTCCCACAATGGAAGAACATGTGGCTCCTCCCCAGAGTAGAGCTGTGTATCCTGGAAGAGTGCCAGGCTACTGTTGAGCTAGAGCAACTTTGTTCATTTGAATTGGGTGGCTTTTTATTTGGGCCTAGCTATTGCATGTTTCCTTGCAGAGAACAAGAAGATACCAATGAACCTGCCAACCAGCCTGTGTCCAAAACTGTCTGCCTGCCTGTCCTTGGGCTAGCAATCAGAATCTTGTAGCAAAGTCTCAGCCTCAGTCATTCTTGGAGCTGATGAAACAGGAAGTCCAGCCAGCGGCTGTACTACTTTTTATGAACCTAGGGCTTCTGGGATCCTCCAGCTGGTAGTGTTAAGAGTGAGAAATGCATTGTTTCCCTCACTGTCACTGGGCTTTTCACCTGATACCACAGAACTGGCCTCACACCTGCACTTACCTGTTGGGATCTCACCTACTCATGTAGAGGCAATCTTAAGACAGGATTTAGGTGTGGATGTTTGGGTGTAGGGCTGGTTGATGGAGGATAATGGAATCAGAATCATATCTGCCTTACGCCCCACAGGCATTGAGCCTGGGTGTGGTGAACTGTTCTGGAGCCAGACAGGCTAGACCCAGAGGCTGGCTCCTCACTTTTCATCTGTTCAAACTTGGACAAATCACCTAGTGTGTCACTAAGGCTAAATTTCCTCATCTGTAAATGGGATAGTATTGATGGCATGGAAGTATTGCAACGATTAAGTGAATTTATCTGCATCAAAGTATTTAAGACAAGCCAGGCCTGATGCACATGCATGAAATCCCAGTACTTACAGGCTGAGGCAGGAGGATCTCCAGTTTGGGCTAGCCTGGTCTTGCTACATAATGAGACCTTGTCACAAAAAAAAAAAAACCTGGGCGCTGGTGACTCACGCCTGTAATCCTGGCTACTCAGGAGGCTGAGATCTGAGGATCATGGTTCAAAGCTAGCCCAGGCAGGAAAATCTGTGAGACTCTTAACTCCAATAAACCACAGAAAACCAGAAGTGGCGCTGTGGCTCAAGTGGTAGAGTGCTTGCATTGAGCTGAAGAGCTGAGGGACAGCGCCCAGGCCCAGAGTTCAAGCCCCACAACTGACCAAAAACAAAAACCAACAACAACAAAAAATAAGGCCAGCACTGGTGGTTCAGGCCTATAATCATAGCTACATAGAAGGTTGAGATCTGAGGATCATGGTTCAAAGCCAGCCCAGGCAAGAAAGTCCATGAAACTCTTATCCCCAATTAACCAGAAAACCATAAGTGGAGCTATGGATCAAAGTAGGAGAGTGAGCCGGGCACTGGTGGCTCCCACCTGTAATCCTAGCTACTCAGGCCGAGATCTGAGGATCGCCGTTCAAAGCCAGCCCAGGCAGGAAAGACCGTGAGACTCTTATCTCCAATAAACCACTAGAAAGCCGGAAGTGGCACTGTAGCTCAAGAACCAGAGAGGAAATGATTCCAAACAAAAGAAACTGTAGCTTGCCTTGAGCTGAAGAGCTGAGGGACAGTGCTTAAGCCCAGAGTTCAAGCCCTATGACCGACCAAAAAAAAAAAAAAGTAGGAGAATGGGCTGGAAAGGCGACTCAGTGGTAGAGTGCTTGCATGAGGCCCTGGGTTCAATTTCTCAACACCACATAAGCAGAAAAAGCTGGAAGTGGTGCTGTGGCTCACGTGGTAGAATGTTAGCCTTAAGCTGAAGACCTGAGGGAGAACGCCAGACCCAGAGTTCAGCCCACAACTGACAAAAAAAAAAAAGTAGAGTGCTAGCCTTGAGCAAAATCTCTCAGGGACAGCACCCAGACCTTGAGTGCAAGCCCCATGACCAACCCCTGCCCCCTGCCCCCCCCCCCCCCAAAAAAAAGCTTAAGACAATGCCTGGACAAGTATAAGACCTGAGTGGATTTTATCATCATATCATCATTATTAATCTGCATTTCATTCTTTTGGAGCTGAAAGCTGGAGGATTCTTGGGTTTCTTTTATTTGGAAACACTTCCTCTCTGGTTCTTCAGCCCAAACATGTCAGGCAAGTCCTTGAACACCAGGAAGTGGAACCAGCCAGTGAGAATTCCTGCTTATCTGTCCCTGTTTATGTGGCCTGGACTGCCAGCTAGAGATAGCAGGGACTGGATCTTCTCTCTAGTCTATTTTCTGGGTAAGCAGGGCTGTTCCCAGGCAGGCAGAGTGTGTGCTGAGAGTAGATCTAGGTGACAGGTGATGTGAGCAATCACAGCCCTTTATGGCTCCGGAGAGCAAATAGAAAGCACTCTGGGAAGCTCCATTTCAGCCCCATGTCTCCATTGCCCTCCTTTCCTCTCATTGTGGCTAAAAACAAGGTAAACTGAAGGCAGGGAGGCAGGAAAGGTTGTATCTTCACAGGACTCATTTTTGATTTTTGGTTTTAGGATTGAACACAAGACGTCACACATGCTAAGCAAGTGCTTTACTTCTTGAGCCACTCACCCAGCCCAAGACTGTTCCTTTTTTTTTTTTTTTTTTCTGGTTGGTCGTGGGGCCTGAACTCTGGGCCTGGGCACTGCCCCTCCACTCTTAAGCTCAAGGCTAGCACTGTACCACTTGAGCTACAGTGCCACTTCTGGCTTTTTCTGCTTATGTGGTGCTGAGGAATCGAACCCAGGGCCTCATGCATACAAGGCAAGCGCTTTACCACTGAGCCACCTTCCCAGCCCGTTGATCCCTTATTTAAAAGGACAAGTAATGACAATTCATAGTTTTGTTTTTATTTTTTGTTTTTTTGGTCAGTCATGAGGCCTGAACTCTGGGCCTGGGCGCTATCCCTCAGCTCTTCAGCTCAAGGCTAGTGCTTTACCTCTTGAGCCACAGCACCACTTCTGGCTTTTTCTGCTTATGTGGTTCTGAGGAATCGAACCCCGGGCCTCATGCTTGCAAAGCAAGCACTGTACCACTGAGCCACCTTCCCCTCCCCACAATTCATAGATCATTTAGCTTGCCCCAGGAAGTAAATGCCAGGATTAGCCCATCTCACTGGGGAGGAGGCTTCACTTGGGGACGTTGAGTCACACAGCTGGTGACAGATGAGAGCCTGAGCATAGACAGGCCAGTGCATCAGGATGCAGTTTATAGGACAGTACTAGGGGGCCTGATTTCTCTGACTGCAGAAATCTGAGAGGATACAGTAGCCTGAGCCTGATTATGCAGGGTATAGAGAAGTTCATGAACAGTGAAAATGCTAAGTGGTGTTCCTCATCCTAAGGGCTTCCCTGGAGCAGGCAACAGTGATGCCCAATGGTGTCTAAATGCAGGTCGGGAGTGGTAATGCTCCCCTCCACTGGTTCCATGGCATTAACTGCCTGTGTGGCCTTCATCCCTATGTGATTTTCCAGCTTTAATGGGTACAGGAAGAGCAGTGGCCTGGAAAGAACAGTGACTAGACATGCCCCTTGAATTCTGGGCACCACCCCCTGATGCACAGAGCCCAGCCAACCTCAAAAACACGTAACCAAAAGCTTTTTACTGGGAAACAAGCAGGCAAATGTTGGGCTAGAATACTGACATCTCCCACCTCTGGTGGGAACTTGGAATCCAGTAGCTATTGCACAAAGTCCCTCTGGTTGGCTTGCTCCTCTTCAGCCTGAATTAGCAGAGCCCCAAGGGCCAACTCCTTGAAGGTATGGCTATTCTTTGTCAAAACATGGGGAGCCTCGCGTCCTTGTTTTGTTAAGAAGTTCAGGTTGGCAGAGGACTCACTTTACTGAATCATTGAAATAGTCAACTCCTTTTCCAAACCCAGTGTCCACTGGCAAATGGGCTTTGCAGTTCTGTGCCTGCGTCCGGCCTTGTTTCCTTGCTTAGACTCCAAGTGTCTTGGCATCTGGTGGTCCTTGTCTGCAAGGGTGAGAGCCACAGGGCAGGTCCACAGCTCATGACTTGGCTCTTGGCAGGCTTGTGCCGCTTCTCTTCAGCCATCTCACCACCTTCCCTCATGGGGGGGTCATGGGCTGCACCTGGACCTTCCTGCCTCTTGGCTCTCGGCGGCAGCAGCAGCGAACGCAGCAGCAGCTGCAGGCTATGAGCAGCAGCAGCAGGACAGTGGCTGCAGGAGGGAAGAACAGGTGTCAGAAGCTGAGGAGGGAAAGGATGCCCATCCTCCCTGCAAAGAGCCTGTCTGGAGATGCGTGATGGCCTTTCCCCGGGTCTGTGTGAGTGGTCAGAAAGACCTCAGACTCTCACAGGGATATTGACTGCCCCTGTGCTGGCCCCACGTCCTGGCGGTCTCCCTGTTGTCTCCTCTGCTGCCACACCTGGCTCCCTTCGTCTCGCAGTTGACACTTGGTAGAGTTGCTGGGTCTAGTTCCCAGCACCGTCCAGTATCGCCCATCGCTTGAGAAGTGTCAGAGGATATGGGGAACGCCCCTGGCTTCCCCCAGGGACAGCTACTTTTCCTCCTTATCTGGAGAACCCCACCACCCCTCAGCCTCCAGCCAGCAAGCAGATACCAGGAAGAACCATGGGACCTGGAGGGGAAATCTGAATGCCCCACTTGCCTGTGAAAAGGACGATGATGGAAAAGGCCACGAGCTCCACTGGCTCGGCCTGGGGCAGCTCTCGCAGCTTCTGCAGCAGCCTTTCACCCACAGAGCGCATTTCCTGCACAAAGTCCGTGGCCATCGTGCTGTGTGTGCTCCTGCTGGGGCTCCGGTCGTCTGTGATAAGGCAGAGACAGACAGAGTGCCTAGAGTTCTCCTGGGGCTGGCCACAGTCTGTGAGGCAGCACCAGGGAGCCACCCTCTCTTCCACCACAGCCTGGCTGAACGGGTTTGTCTGGTCTCACCACATGCACCACTGGTGGCTCATGAGAGAGGCAGGAGGTAGGGAATAACCCTGGGGGCTGCGCTCAGTGGCAGCAGCCCTCAGCCCTTGCCAGTGCTGCCAAGCAAGAAGGAAGCAGGGACATAGAGACTCCTCTGAGGGGCTGCCAGCCAAGGTCAGGATGACTGAGTTTCTGACCATGAGTTGGTGTGGGTTCGCCATTACGTTGTTTTTCTCTTTGGACACCACTCCCAGGTTTGGTCAGCTCCCCTGCCAACAGCTGGGTCATTCGGGACATGAGTGTCTCCCCTGGATGTCCCCAGGGTGGAGAGAGGCCTTGAGAGTCTAGCCTGGTGCATTTGCCACCCACCACATGCTGGGGACAGGAGGATCAGGCTCTGAGAGCAGGTTCATGGGGCACTAGTCTAGAGACGGGAAGCTGAGTCCCCCAGGGCACGGCCCTCACCAGTGAGCCCAGCTTTACCCATTTGTTGTTCGGTGAGAAGGGAGAGCACCTGTGCTCCCAATTTTTCCCCAGGAGTCTTCTCTGTCCGGAAGGGATCAGCCAGCCCTCCCTTCTTAGCTTGGACCTGATCCTCTAGACTGACTAAGAGAGGTTCTCTTCAGAGAGGCCGGGAGGTCCTGAGGCAAAGCTCTAGGCTAGTCTGTGGTAGTCCCTAGTGGGCATTAAAGGTTCTTTCTCTTCCCACTTCTGTGGGCACAAGGCAGCCAGTGCCTCTTTGGTGTGACTAGGAATGGCCTGTGCCAGCCCAGCCTGAACCAGATCACCAAGGCTCTTATTTTAATCCTAGGGGTGGTGGGTGAGGTCAGTGGCCAGGGGCTTGTGCCAGAACTTCCGTTTTAGTGATTGCCAGCTTGTCCCTGATCTGCACCAGCAAGGCTGTGTCCTCTGCTGTGGTTCTGCAAGTCCTGCACTGCTACCTGGCACAACAGGCTTAGAAACACCTTGCAGGTCCCCTCTGCCTGCATGTAGCTTGCTGCCCTCCTGTGGCACCCCCCCCTGCCCCATTACAGAAGGCTGGACTCTGTCCACCTCCCGTGAGTCCCACTTGGTCTCCTAGGACCTGACTGCCCCTTTCCTCTGATTTCGTTAGGAACTGGATGGCAGCCGATGTGTACTTTCCAAATTTCCTATGGGTTTTTCCTTTGCTTTTTGCTGTGCTGGGATTGAATCCAGAGCCCCACACATGTCAGGCACTACCACTGAGCTACGTTCCCAGCTTCATGATATATTCTCTAGTTTTTGTTTTTGTTTTTTAAGCTGTCCCCTAAAATAGTGTTTTAATCATCCTGTTTCCTTCCCTTTGCTGTGACATAGGACAGAACCCTTCATCTCAGGGAGAGGCCTGGGCTGCAGGAACACCCTCTGGGGGGTGCCTGGCCAGGGCTGGGAAAGTTGAAGCAAGCCAGGCACTGGTGGCTCACGCCTGTAATCCTAGCTACTCAGGAGGCTGAGATCTGAGGATTGCGGTTCAAAGCCAGCCCGGGCAGGAGAGACCGTGAGACTCCTATCTCCAATAAACCACCAGAAAAACGGAAGTGGCACTGTAGCTCAAGTGGTAGAGCGCTCGCCTTGAGCTGAAGAGCTGAGGGACAGCGCCCAGGCCCAGAGTTCAAGCCCCACGACCGACAAAAAAAAAAAAAAGTTGAAGCAGCCTTTTGTGTGTGGCTTTGGAGGCTATGGCTCCATCCCTCCTACAAACATGTCAGGAGTATCCTTGTTCATTTCTGGTGCCTGTCTAGAAGGAAGGTGGGCAAGTTGGAAAGTGGGGGTTGTTTGGATGACAGTGAAGAGAGCAGGCAGAGGACTCAATGGTGGAGAGGCAGAAGGTCCCAGAGTTACTTCTAGTTCCTCTCGTGCCTCCCCCCCAGGGCCAGTGCACTTCTGCTGAATGGACCAGATCCCAGCTTGCAAGGTCGGAGGAGACCCGGGTTCCTGGGCTGCAACTGGTCTGTACTGACCTCCTTTGTTTTACGTAAGGGCAGCTGTGACCTGACAGTGCCCAGCTTCTCTGTAGTTACGGCACGGTGGGCTCTGTCAGCACTTCTGCTGCCCATGCGCTGCCACTGGATGCCCGTGTCTGCTTTTAGCCAAAAGATAAGTCAGTACCACAGAGTTATGGTGAGGGCACTGCCTGAGCGTGGCTCCACAAGGAGCCAGGCCTCGGGCCCTTTGGAAGTCCATGGGCCAGAGCCCTGCTGTTACCAGCACATCACCATTGGGCTGTGGCCTACCACACTTGGCGTTTGTTAGTAAAGGGCCAGATCTGCTGTCCTTGGGTCAGACCAAGCAAGAGTGTCGACACCAAGCAAGAGTGTCGACACCAAGCAAGACTGTCAGGTGGAGTGGGCTTGTGCAAGGATGGCATTCCCCTGTCCTATTTTGAGACCTCTGTGCCATCCCTTCCCCCAGGATTCCAGGGATCTCCTCCGCAGAAGAGTGGCGTACACATGGTTCAGAAGCAGGGCTGCTTTTCTCTCCTTTTCATCTTGGTTTGACTGTTTGAGCCCGATTGGCACTGTGCCCACTTGCCTAATGTAGCCCAATGGAGACACTCCTTAAAAGGGGAAGCGGGCAGGAGGCTGGTGGGTAGAAAGAGCTTTCTCACTAGTGTGCCACACCCAGATACCCCAAGAGACACGCTGGGGGAGGGGGAGGTACTTGCTTGTGTGCAAGCTTTGGTGTTGGGACTGTGGGTCTCTGTGAGCCTCTGAGAGTCAGGATTTGTAGAGCGGGGAGGAAGGCAGTAGGCTAGCAGGAAAGGCGGGCTCACGGATCAGAAGCTTGGGCTGCAAAGGCAGTATCCTTCTGGGACGTGCAGTTGGAAAGCGGCAGACTCCTGACCACTAGGTCTGGCTCCCCTCCGGGAAGAGCATTGGTCTACACCAGAAGTGGGCCACCCACTTGGACAGCACCAAAGCTTTGCACCTAGGACTTCTTGGAGCAGCCAACTCAGAGCTGAATTAGCCAGTAAGACCTGGCCAGCCTGACTTAGGGCTGCCCTTCAATTTGTCTTGCAAAACAAGTGAGTCCATGGCTAGGTGCCAGAGGCTCACACCTGTCATCCTAGCTACTCAGGAGCCTGAGATCTGAGGATCGCAGTTCAAAGCCAGCCCGGGCAAGAAAGTCCATGAGTCTCTTATCTCCAATGAACCACCAGAAAATGGGAAGTGTCTCTGTGGCTCAAGTGGTAAAGCGCTTGCCTTGAGCTGAAGAGCTGAGGGACAGTGCAAGCCCAGAGTTCAAGCCCCATGACCAACAAAACAAAAAAGTGAGTCCATTGGGCATGTCTGAAGAGGAGCCCTCTGGTTGGCAGTGGACATTTGGTCATTTTCAGCCTAGGTTATGTCTGAGCAGAGCAAGCCCACGCAAGAGGGGGGAGCTAGAGGGTCTTGTTCTCCACACAGAGGAGGGAGGCACATTCCCACAGGTCCCAGGCGTCTTCCCGGTGTGCTATTTAAAGCAGGACCAGCAGACGCCTGGTGCCCGATATAACCCGCAGCGTCAGGCGACCCTGGGGCATGGCAGCTGCTGCTCTGAAAGGAGTACATGTTCCCAGCCCTGGCCCGTGCAAGTGGGAGCTTGGGACTAACCCCTCTTGCCTATCTCAGATTCACAAGTCCTTCTAAAACCACATTTCTTGCCCAACAACCAGGAGAATTAGAGCCCCTCTTACCCCCATGCTCGGTAGTTCCTCAGAGCCTCCTGAGGGGCATCTGGAGCAAGCGATGGCTTCCCCTGGCCCCAGGGAGAGTGGCCTGGACGGCCACTGAGCCTGCTTTGAGCACGGCCACTGAAGAGGGGCAGTCAGCAGGGCAGAGAGGGAGGCTGGCGAGCTAGAGGGACAGTGGCAATGTTCCTTTCTTGGCACAGAGAACTACCATGGAGCAGGTGTACATCCTGTAGACCAGACAGCTGCCACTTGCTATCAAGCGTTCCTGTTCCGTTTTACAAAACCAGTAGCTCAATTCCAAGCTCCCGTGAGAAACAGCAGGCAGCGTGTGTGTGCCTGATAAGCACAGGGTGGGCTTCTTTCTGTGTGCTGTGGTTTAGGCTGGGTTAATGCTACCCTTGCCCTGCAGGGCATTTTCTTGCTTGGGAAGCAGCTTCAGTGAGGTATTGTGAACCGTTATAGATCTTTGGGTACAGAGGTGGGAATGCCTTCTGTGTACTGTGCTAAGCAAGCATTTGGATGACTCCTCTCTTTCTTGACTCAGACTTGAAATAGAAAGTAGGTTCTTAAATCCCTGTTGGTTCTGCTGTCCTAGCCCAGAAGCTTTCGAGGACACTTTTCCTACACTAGTGACTGTTAGAAACTGGACCAGTACCTTGATGGAGCCATATAAGCTTGGCAGCCCCTTCCCTCACAGCTCAGGACCTGCTGGGCCTATGTCCTGTAGATGCAGGGTGTCTGCCTTTTTGGGTTGTCTAGTCCCCTCCCTCTACCATGAGCTGAGCTTCTGTACGATGCCCAGGAGCTTAGCCTCCCAGCTCTCAGTACAGGCCAAAGCCTACAGCTTCTGCTGAGCCAAAGACGCTTGGCCTGATCCTTGGTTTCCACTTTTCCCTGGATCGTTGTTTTTCTTTCTTGCTGGATAGAAGTTTGTTTGCTTTGGGAACAACATCGAGGGGGAGGGAGCCTAACCTTGGTGTGAGGACAGGAGGCAGCATGGATGAGTAGCCTCTGCTTATGAGGCCCTGTCCAGGAGGGTTTGTTCTTGCTGTCTGAAGAAGGAAGAACCAAAGAACTGACTCAGGGCAGGGTCGGCATTGTAGTAGTACAGCAGGGAGCCAAAAGCCAGAGATCCCTCTCCAGCCTCATTCACGTCATCACTACCAGCCCTGGTAATGCATGCCCCTCTGTCAGCCTTCAGAGTGTGTTGTCAGAGGGGGAAAGCAGGTGTTCCAAAGGCTCTAAATGGGCACAGGGCCCCTTTCCTAGGCCAATCCGTAACTGAGCGCACTGGGCAGCAAGCAGGCCAAGCCTGTGATACATGGCAGCAGTGCTCTTGTCCGGGACTCAGGTGAACAGAGCCGCTCTGAGTCCTGTTACATTGTAGGGGTGTGAGCTATCTGGCCTTACCCTGCCTTCAGCCTTCTTCACTAGGTAGACCACAGAGACAGAGGACCCTAATCCTGGGAAAACAGAGGCTCAGCAGGCATGTGGCTGCCGGACAGCCAAATCCCTCCCGGAAGCCCGCTGAATAGAAAAAGGCTTAAAACCCCACCTGCAGAGTCAGCAGGGCACCAGCCCCTCTTGTGCAGCAAGTGGCTGGGCCTCACTCGGCCTCCTCTGTTGAGCAGTCCCCTTCCTGTGAGCCTGGGTCCCAAGGTAAAGGAAAACCCAGGGTGCACAGGAAGAGACTGGCTTCCTGTGGAGGAGTGACCAGGGGCCTTCCCTGAGACCTCCCCCCCCCCCCGCTGTGTTCTGCATTAATTGTCCCTCACTACTCCCTTCCCTTGCTTTCCCCCCTTACCTGTGGCCAGGGCTACTCACCTGAGAGCTTAGGTGGTGGCAACCAAAGAGGGACCCTGCAATGTGGAGCCTCCGTGTGCCTCCCCTCAGGCCCCTGGTGGCCACCTCATACTTCCTCCACCGATGCCTCCTTCCTGCCCCGCCGCTTCTCCCCTGGGCACCTCTCAGCGTGAGCTCCTCGCGGCTGACAGCCAGCTCTGTTCCAGCTTTTTTGTTGTTAGTCGTCCTGGAGATGCAAGTGTCAAATTACTGCCGAAAGGGGGAGCCAGAGGAGGGAGCCCGTGCTGGAGCTTGTCCTACAACTTCGTACCCCATGCTCTGCCTTCCCCCGCTTGGGAGGTCTGATGTTCCCCTTTCTCCTTCCATCTCTTCCTCTCGCTGCCCTCCTGCTAGTGGACCAGGTTGGAGGCTGAGGCCTGGGCGGAGCTGATGACCAAAGAAGTGGCTGGTTGTGGTTCTCTGCAGAGATGACCCCAGGGGACTCTGCCTGAGCTGATGAAGAAGAGGGTGGAGCAGTTTTCCCAGCTCCTGAGCTCCCCAACGCCACCTTCAGGAGGCCTTTTGGCTTTTCTCGCTGACCACTGCATCCTGTCCCTCCTGCCATGCCCTGGCTGGTCCTTCCCTCTGGCCTTTCCAAGGAAAGAGAGAAATGGTGGGTAGCTACTAGACTACCCAAGCAAGCAGACAGACTTTGCAGCCCTCTTGGACGTCCTTCTGCCACATAGTATCCAGAGGCATCTTGGAGAAAACTTGGGAAAACTGGGTATCCTGGCAGTGGCCTCTTGCTTGCCTAGCAAGAGCTTTGTGTTCCACCCAAAGGAAGGGCACTGCTGTCTCATTCCACTCCATCGTCTCTGCACCCCTGGTCCGGCTGTCAGGGAGGGGCTCCAGAGCCAGTGGCTGGGCCCTTTGACATTTGGCTGGCTGTGCCACCCAGCAGGCCAGGCTGTGGGGAGAGAAAATGATCCCAACCCGGTAGTCAATGGAGCTCTTTGAATCTGAGCACAAAACCCCAGTGAGGCAGGGCTTGGGGGCAGGGAGGCGGCCAGGCGTGTGGTTACACCACTCGGATGCCGGACCGTCCCAGAGGCCAGACAGGCGGCCACTATACCGGGGCAGGGGGAACATTTGTCACATTTAGTATTAGAAGGAGCAGAGCACAAGTGCTCCCTCTGGTGTTCAGCTTCTCCAGTCCAACTGAAACCTGTGTTCTCTGCTCCCATTAGAGGGCCTCCAGACCCCGTGTCTTTTCAAGCTGGGTCAGAGCTTTTGCTTCATGAGTCTGCTCTGCGGTTGCAGGTCCAGGTAGTGATCACAAATGAGAGGAGCTCTGGTTAGAGATTCTGGCAAAGCTGCACCTCCTTCTCTGAATGTACCAGTAACTAGGTACAATGTCAGCTCTCAGAACTGCCTGCTGGCTGGGTGCTGGTGGCTCAGCCTATAATCTTAGCTACTCAGGAAGCTGAGATCTGATGCTCCAGGTTCAAAGCCAGCCCAAGCAGACAAATCCAAGACTCTTATAACTCCAGTTAACCACCAGAAAACCAAAAGAGGAACTGTGGCTCAAGTGGTAGAGCAGAGCTTTCCGCAAAACAAAAATAACAAAAAACTAAGGAACAGCACCCAGGCCTCGAGTTCAAGCCTTAGTAATAGTACCAAAACAAACAAAACCCTGCATGCTTTCTGGCTGTCTCAAGGAGCTACTGTGCCATGTGCAGCTGCCAGCCATGGTCTGGGTACAGCAGGCCAAGACAGAAAATCATCAGGGTCCACACACACAGGAGAAGAAAGGTACAGGACAAAAGTAGGGCCCTCTTCCATCCTAGAGAGGGCTAAGAGTGTGATTATAATGCTTCTGCGCCCCGGTTCAGATGGCTTTGTGTCAGGGCCAGCGTCTGCACCACAGCCTGAACTCTTCCCAGGGTGGGCATCCCAGCACCAGGAGAGTAGCGGGACAAAGCAGGGCTCCCATGTTGGCTCTCAGTTACTCTTGTGTTACTTGGCCTCGGGAAAGCTCCTCACCCCGCCGCCCCCCGCTGTACAGTGGGCAGACGCCGATGCTTCCCTGGGCCCTGTGAGGTGAGGTGTGTGAGATGCCAGCATGGTGCCAGCTCACCACGGTTGGCCAGGGTTTGGGGACTGGGGGAACAAACCCTGGCCTGCTCGTTCCCTCACCCCTCACCTCCGTGGTACTCCTGCTCCAGGTGCCGCCATGCCGCCATTGCCAAGTACTTCGGGGATGTGCCACCCACCTGCATCAAAGGCTGCGACCACTGCCAGAACCCTGCAGCCGTGCGGAAGCGCTTGGAGGCCTTGGAGCACAGCAGCAGCAGCAGCTGGAACAAGACCTGCATTGAGCCCTTCCAGAAGAATGGCTTTGACCCCGAGCTGTATGAAGGAGGCCGCCGGGGTTACGGGGGCTTCAGCAGGTAAGGGGTCCCAGGAAGTAGCCTGTCATTCCCCCCAAAGCTAGGGCCAGGCCAGGGGCCGCCCAGTGCTACAGGTTTCTCTCTTCTTGCCACCCGGATATATTGGAGGTTGGTGTTGTCCCAAGCTGCCAGAATGTCAGAGACATTGCTGTCCTGACCAGTGGTGTGAGTAAGGAGGGCAAAGCCGCAGCCTGAGCCTGCTCCCCCCTGCCCTACCCCAGGTATGATGAAGACTCTGGAGGCAGCAGTGATGAGATCAAAGATGAGGCCCACAAACGAGAGTGGAATCTCTTCTATCAGAAGCAGATGAGCCTGAGAAAGGTGAAGGCGGGTGGGACACAGACCATGCAGAAGCCCGCTCCTCCCTGCGGCTACCTCAGCCCGGGTGGGAGCTGCCCTTCAGGCCCAGATGCCTCATGGTCCCCTCGTATCATCTTCCAGGGCAAAGACCCCAAGACAGAAGAATTCATACCCCCAGGTTGGTATTGAAAAGTCCCAGGAGATCATGGCTGTGCCTGGGGTGTGGATGGTGGGGGCTCCATTGGGGGCTGGGTGGCTACAGAGTAGAAGGTCAGGTGGAAGGACCTGGTCCCTTCCTTCCAGATGAGAACTGTCCCCTGAAGGACGCTTCTAGCAGCAAGATCCCCAGGCTCACCGTGAAGGTAAGAGCAGGGAAGCACCTCACCTGCCCTGGACCCCAGCCCACCCGAGCCTGGGGAACCCACTACCTTCTTTGCACAGGCTCGAGAACACTGCCTGCGGCTTCTTGAGGAGGCTCTGAGTAGTAACTGCCAGGCTGCGGGCTCCGCTGATAGGTGAGATCTCCGTGGTTGGTGGAGACTTGTTCCTTCCAAGGCTGTTCCTCGCCAGGTGGTGACCCATCCGAGTCTAGGGCTGCCAAGGGACAGGTGGGACCACACTTAGATACTGATGAAGAACAGCCATAGGTGCCCACGGAATCCTAGTCCCAGTCCCTTTGCCCATCCCTGCCAGTCCCCAAGCCTTCCCACCGTCCCTGGGGAGAATGCACCAGTATTTTAGGGAGAGGCTCAGCCCACTTATTCCTGCCCACAGAGCAGACCTCCAGGCCAGGGCTGTGGAACTGGAGCATGAGACATTCCAAAATGCCAAGATGGCCAATCTATACAAGGCCAGCGTGCTGAAGAAGGTGGGCCTGGAACTGGGGGAAAGGTGGGCTGGACACTCCCCAGGGTAAGACAGGGAGGCCCATTCATACTCCAGGGACATCTAGCCCTCTGGCTATCAATGAGAGTAGAGCCTGTCCTTCACCGGGGAGAGCTGTTTCCAGCCAACCCATCAGGATTGAAACTTGCCTAGTGTGCCTTAGAGGAGGAGGAACTGGGTTCGGGCTCAGGAGCTCACAGATGCTATGGCCTCCCTGCCTGACTTACCCAGGTGGCTGAGATCCACAAAGCCTCCAAGGATGGGCAGCTCTATGATGTGGGAGGAAGGACCAAGAGCCACGGGGTCCAGCCCGAGCCCCCCGAGCCCAATGAGTACGACATCCCTCCCACTTCCCACGTGTACTCGGTGAGTTGCATTCTGGTGTTCTGGAAAGGCTCGGGTAAGGCATGACCTCTCCCCCCTCACTCCCTGCAGCACCCCTGCTCTGCCAATTTCGCCTTTGTCAGCCATGACTCTTCGGTCCATTGCTTCCTCCTGCACTCAGCCATCATCCCAACACAGCCATTGCTGAGCCCACGGTGAAGGCTCTTGAGGGTGCCTGGGACTCTGAACTGTTGTCCGTTTTCCTCCTCACAGCTCAAAACGAAGCGGGTGGGAGCTGGCTCCTGCACCTTCCAGACAGCCACTGAGCTATTGGGGAAATTTCAGACGCAGGAACAAGCCCCCCAGCCTGTGCAGGGAAGCAAACAGGAGCCCCTCCTCCTCCAGGAAGACAGGAGCGAGCCCCTTCCTGGGCACAGTGATGCTGCTAGGGCTGGTGCTTGTGGGGAACCTTCCCCTGAGAAGAAGGCAAAAGGCTCCTCCAGGGGAGGCGCCACTGCCAAGGCCCGGGCCAGCAGGAAACAGCAGCTCCTAGCTGCAGCGGCCCACAAGGATTCCCAGAGCATTGCCCGCTTCCTCTGCCAGAGGGCTGAGAGCTCCCCTCTCCTGGCTTCAGCCCCAGCGGCCGAAGGTACCAACTCCTCCTGTGAAGGCGCTTCTCGACCCCTGAGAGCCCCAGAGCAGCATACAGAGGAGGAAGATGGAGCCCCAAGATGTTTGATTGCCTCCCTTCAGACTGAGGCATGTCCCCAGGACGGGCCAAGGTAAGGACAAAGGTAGTTAATGAATCTTCTGAATTTTTGTTTTGTTTTGTCAGTCCTGGGGCTTGAACTCAGGGTCTAGGCACTGTCCCTGAGCTGCTTTTGCTCAAGGCTAGTACTCTGCCACTTGAGCCATTTCCGGCCTTTTCTGTCTATGTGATACTAACCCAAGGCTTCATACATGCTAGGCAAGCACTTTACCACTAACCCGCATTGCTTACTTGCCCTCAATGGCTTGAGCCTCTGCTAGGCTGCCCGGGGTAAGGAAGCAGTTGAACTTGGAGTTCTGATTCTGCTCTTCCCTCTGGCCAGTGCTTGCCTACTCAGAGACCAGGGGCTCTCTGAAGGCCAGCCCAGCCTCTTAAAGGAGACCCCGACCAGCAAGCGGACCAGACACCAGGAGGTACCATAGGGAGGAGGCCATGGGGGAGAAGGAGGCCAAGGCCAAGGCCAGAGCTGCTGTGCCTGGCAGGGTCTCCGTGGCAGGTGGGGCAGGCTGGAGGGAGCCACCTGGTGCTGAGGCATGGGCTTGCAGATAGAGGGGCCGGCCAGAGCCAGAGAGCGGGAGCCTAGAGTGACTATGACCCTCTCCAGGAAAACCCAGAAAGCCGGGCTCAGAAGAGGCCTCGTCCCTCAGCCAAGCCCCCTATCACCGATGAGGTCAAGGATAGCACCTCAGCCGGTGATCAGGGTGCCTTGAACACTGTGGCCCAAGAGCCCTGCCAGCTCCCAGCTCCGGGCATCTCCCTGAAGGAGGCTGCAGATGTTGTGGTCAGGTGTCTGACCCCTCTCTACAAGGAGGGCAAGTTTGCATCTAAGGTAGGGTGAGTGGGCCTGCCCTCCCCAGGCCTGGGGTTCTTGGGTCAGGGAGTGAATGAAGTCGGGCAGAACAGGCCAGGCCCAAGGCCTGGCCGCAGCTCGACAGCCTCCGCCTCCTCTGCCTTCTAGGACTTGTTTAAAGGCTTAGCTCGCCACCTCTCACACCTGCTGACTCAGAAGGCCTCTTCTAGAAGGAGCGGTGAGCCCCAGTCATGGTGGGAGGGAGGAGTGGGGGAGCAGGTCTGCTGGGAAAGCTGCCTTCACCTCCTCTCCTTCTCTCCCTGGACCTGCAGTGAAGGAAGGGGCCCAGAGTCTCATCAAGCAGTTCTTCCGTGGCCGCTCACGGTGTGAGAGTGAAGCCGACTGGCACAGCCTGTGTGGCCTACAGTGATGACCTGCCTCCTCCCGACGGCCCTGGCCAGCGTGGCCACCCAAAGTGGGAAGCCAGGCGGACCGGCAGCGCAGCGGCCACCATCCTCCTCAGGGTCTTAACCTCTTCTGTGTTCCAGACACCTCCCAGATCAAGTAAGAGGCCAGAGGTCAGCCTCCAATGTCTCGGCCCTCATTGCCGGTGTTCTGGGCCAGATCCCCAGGTTAGAAGGTAGATGTGTGGTTGCGGCCAGTGGAAGACGGAGTAGCCACCTTTTTTTTTTTTTTTTTGTGCTTGGCCTGGGGCTTGAACTCAGGGCCTGGGCTCTGTCCCTTAGCTTTTTGCCCTAGGCTAACACTCTACCACTTGAGCCATAGCTCCACTTCCAGTTTTTGGGTACTTTGTTGGAGATGAGTCTAATGGACTTTCCTGCCTAGGCAATCTCAGATCTCAGTCTCCTCAGCAGTTAGGATTACAGGCATGAGCCACTGGCGCCTGGCTTCATATGTTTCTTAACAGTTTATCATCCACTGTAGGCCACACGATACCTATGCAAGGTATTGGGGCCAACTCAGGTTCCCTGGTCCCCTCCAGCCCCCCACTTCCCTTGAGATGCCAGCTTCTAGCCTTTGCTGGGCGCAAAGTTTGTGGGCTGGGGTGGCATCTAGTGGTGGCAGCTAGGCCCTGCTCAGTTTCTGGATAGGACAGCCAGGCCTAATGTTTACAAGAATAAAGTCCTGTTTGCCCTGACGCATGCCCACATGCCCACACAGCCCTTTTAGGAGTTTTATTTCCTCAGCAGCAGCTGCTTCTAGGCCTAGGTTCATGTTGACCTTGATCCTGGTCAGGAACCGGAACCCGGGTGGTCAGCTCCCTTCGGCTGGCAGCATCTGATGCCTAAGCCAAGGTCTTGCAGCCCCACTCTGGGCTCAGTCTTCCCCAGGTAAGTCACGGTGGCACCCCCTGCCTTGTGGCCTCCACCTGGGTTAGGCAGCAGCAGGTTCCAGGGCAGAAGGTAGACTGGGCCCCTCGCCTCCACCCCCTCACTGAGAGGAAGACCCACTGCCCTCCATCAGGAAGACGATGGTGTGCTGCAGCTCCTGGGCCTGCCGGGAAAGGGCGAGTCAGCGCCGGCTCCCCAGCGACCTCCTCCTCCATCCCTGCCCACAGCTCCCAGCTGGCTAGGCTGGGGCCACCCTGGCCTCTCACCTGCGGCAGCTCCACCCACATGGTCTGGGGGCTGTCGGCGGAGCCCCAGTTGAGCTCCAGCCCAGGCGGCCCGTTCTCCTCCAGCGGGCTCAGCAGGTGGAGCCGCTGCAGGTGCTTCAGGTCAATGGAGCAGCACAGTTTCTGGGGAAGCAGCAACAGCAGAGCTTGGCTCTGGGGTTGGGGGGGGGCGGCCTGAGGGGTCTCGGGCCTGCACTGGGGCAGAAGCTCTGCCTACCTGGGAGCTGGGGTCCATGAGGACCAGGTGTCTGCGGTTGAGCCCCAGGAGGACAGGCCCAGGAAAGACCATCTTGCTCACTCGAAGCACCACATAGACAGTGTAGCCAAAGAGGGGCAGCTGCCTTGCGGCCTCTGGGGGGCAGAAGAGGGCACGGGCATGGTTTCTGCCAGGAGTTGGGACTGCCCTCCTTTTGCTCCCAGGATAGATGAAGGGCAGCCAGCGTAGAAGCTTCCTTGCCCCGCCAGCTCTACCCCAGCGCCCCTTGTCCCAGACGCACGGATGAAGCTGATCTGTGCTTCCTGGGGGTCGTAATCTTTCAGCTGCCTCAGCTCCTGGCTCAGCAAACTCCTTATGGCGGCCATGTTCACCTGCCACTGCAGCGGCTTGGGTATGTAGGCCAGCAGGTCTTGCCTAAGATACACAGCCTAGCTCAGGCCCCGGAAAGCCAGCCCCTTGGTGCAGAGCTGGGCTGTGGGCTAAGAAACAGTGGAGAGGACTAGGACCCGAACGCGAATGAGGCGAGGGCACTGCTGCAGGCAGGGCAGGCAGGGCAGGCAGGGCAGGACCGGCTCTGCAGCGGAGCCTGGCCTTGCAGGGCAGGGAGGGGGGATGTGGTAGGCCAGAGGAGCCACGGGGCTTGGCTGGTGCCCAGGTGGGAAGACAGCCGCACTGGAGGTGAGGGGACGGGTGAGGCGGTGCTCACGCACTCGGAGGGCGGGTCCTTGCTGGCCCTGCTGAGGTGCTGGAGGGCAGCCATCTGAGCCAGCTGAGCCTCGGCCTGGGCGCGGGCCATCAGCTTCCCCTGGAGGTAGTCCCGCAGCACCTGGGGCGGGGGCCAGGGGGAGGGTGTAAGGGGTACCTGTACCCCAGCCTCTCCAGCTACTTGAAGCTAATTAGGGCTCTAGGTTCCCGCCACCCTTTCTCCCAGTGGCCACACAGCCACATCCATGTGGGGAGGGGGCCTGGAGGCCCACAAGCAGGAACCCAGTGGTCGCGGGCAGAGGCTGACCTGGCCATAGTGGGTGTCGATGTAGGTGGGGTGGTCAAAGTGCAGCGGGCTCTCCCAGCCGAGCCGCCGGCTGTGCAGGCTCAGGTCCGGCGCCACCAGCACACTGTTGAGATACTCGGGGGGCCGCAGGGGCCGGACCAGGTCCCCTGTGTGAAGAGCTCAGGCCAGTGCTGCCCACAGCCCACCCCGCTGCCTCAGCCCAGAGCTGCCTTCCTAGGGACAACGCCCATCCTGACTGCCTCTTCTCCCCCCGCCCCGTCCAGCCTCACCTTCCCCTTTGATGAGGAAGAGGGCAAATTCCTGCACTTCCTGGGGGTCCGTGATGCCCATCTGCCCACATAGCTCCTCCAGTACTTCTCCTGCCACCTGGATGTATGGACCGGGCCATGACCATGGGGGAAACACGTTGGGGATCCAGGCTGAGGCCCATAGCCTCTCCCCTTAGTGCTTCCTGCCTCCCACTTGCGCACCGTGAAGGTGTGGAGGTTTGTCTTGTAGTCCAAGCCGCCAGGCAGGTGAATTAGAAGCATCCGGACCGCTTGCCCTTTCTGTCAGGCAGAGTGTAGGGTCGGTCGCCAGCAGTCGGCTATCCCAGCTCGCTCTGTCCCGTGAGTGCTGCCCCTCCATCCCAGGGGACTCCCAGAAGGCCTATCTGCCCACCCCCAGTACCAGGAAAGCCTTCATTTCACCCGGTAGGGGCAGCTGCTGCCGGCCCCCGTATTTGACCGTGCGCTGGAGGTGCTCCTGGCTGCTGCGGGCCAGCTCTGCAGACAAGCCAGAGGGCCGGGGTCGCACGTGTCCTCGCCTGCCTCCCAGCCCCGCGGCCCGGGGCCCGGGCCTCGTCCCTCCCCCAGCACCTTGGTTGGGGCCTGAGTCCTGTAGGAACTTGGTCACATAGGGCATCAGTGTGGTGGACGGGAGGAAGAAGCCTGCGAGGAGGCTGAGGAAGCTCCAGCCCCGGACACAGCGCTCCCTGAGGAACAGAGCCCTGGCTCAGCCTGGCCCAACGGCGCCATGCTGCCCCAGCCCCTGCCCACCATTTCCACTCACGGCTGGGGGTGTCCCGTGACCTGTTTGATGACCTGGCAGTACATCTCATCCCTGAGCTGCTCCTCCCGGCACAGCTGCGGGGAGGAAGGCGGGCAGGCAGCAGAGGGGCACGCTAAAGTCAGCATGCCCATTCCAGCCGCGTCTGGTGCCTCACACTCGTCATCCTAGCTACTCAGGAGGTTGAGATGTGAGGCACACAGGTAAAAGCCAACCTGGACAGGAAAGTCCATGAGACTTAACCCCAGTTAACTACCATAAAGCAAGAAGTAGAGCTGTGACTCAGAAGGTTGCGTGGAAAAGCTCAGAGACTCCTAAACCCTGAGTTCAAGGCCCCAGTACCAGTTCACACACACGAGAGACATCCCATACGCTTTCCTTCTGTGGCAGGGAGGAACATGGCCTCACACTAGCGATGCAAGCCCATTACCTGTGAGCCCCACTCCAGCCCCGCTCATTCTTCGTATCACGTCCCTCGTCTCTTCAAAGCCTCGCAGCCTTAACTGCCCCCTTGGCCTCTAGGCTCTGCAGAGCCCAGGGCCCATCTAGACTTTTCCACCCGATAGCTCCAGTGTGCGTCTCCAGCCTGATTCTCCTGGAAGCCCACAGCCCTCCACTCAGAAGTCTGCCGCCTCAATTTCACATGTCCCAGAGATTCCTCCGGTGGCCGACACCTGCCCTGGCTCGGGGCCACCGTGCACGCTGGCTGGCTCAGAACTTTTGCCCATCTCCCCACTGCTGTTGCCTCTGAACTGTCCCCAGCCCCTCACCTGGGGTCACTGCCATAACTAACCCCCCCGCCCGAAGCCCCCAAAACCTCAACAGCCACAATGAAATGTAAGCCAAGTCTGATTCCCATCAGACAAACACCAGTGTGTGGTAAAGTCCCGTTGTAATGGACTCAAGGCCTGCTGTGGCCCAGGCCTACTGTCCCCTTGCCTTCCGCCTCCTCCACTCCTGTTCACTGGCTCCAAACTGGCCTGGCTGGGGCTGAGCCTCCTTGGCGGCTACCTGGGCACCCTGTTCCTTTGCATACAGCCCAATTCTTCAGATCTGTTACAAAGCCACCTCCATGGTAGCCCCTTTCTCCACCCGAGATCTCTTCACTCTAGACACACAATGTCATTGTTGCCCGCCTGCCTCCTTCTGTGTCTTTGGGTTCACAGCCCTGTCCCCAGCATACAGTAGGCACTCAATCCTTGCTTTTGAATGACTGCAAGGAATAGTGACCAAAGAAAGGGGGAATCCATGCTCCAGATCCAGGCAGGACAGGAAAAGCTACTCAGGGCCCAAAGCTTCCTGCCCAAGCCTCCAGCTCACAGCTCTTGCTTACCTTCAGCAGCTCATAGAGCAGCTCCGGCTCCTTCTTGCCCCGAGGCTTAGACTGGTCCCCCATATACTGCATCAAAACTGCAGGCAGGATATGGAGCATAGTGAGCTAGGATGGGGCCGGACCCGGCCACCTGTGCTCCGATGCTTTCCTCGGCAAACACACCCGGGCAAGGCACACAGCCTTCTCCAGCTTTACCAGGGATATAAGCTTCAAGAAATTCCCAAGATTGCCCAAGGCCAGACTCGGAGCATAGCATCAGCTGGATTCACCCACTGCCTTCCAATCCCAGACGCCATACAATCCACACAGAGGGTGGAAAGACAAATAGGAGAGGACCGCAGGGTCCAGGGTCTACCCTGAGTTGGCAGACAGGAGTGGAGTCGGGTAGAACGCAAGGAGAGAGAGCCAAGTGCCCAGCACCTCGCAGACACAGGAGCCCGGGCTGCCCGCAGCCACTTACCCTGGAAGCCTGCCACAGCCTTGCTGTTTGTGTCCTCGTCATTGGTATTAATGAGCGATTCCTGGATGGGAGTCTGTGGCCAGAAGGGCTGGGCTGTGGGTCTGGGACTACGGGGGGGGGGGGGTGTCAAAGGGCTGATCCATGGGCTAGCTCCTCCCACCTGGCCCCTCACCTTGCTGTACTGCACCTGACTGGCTGTCGTGTCCCCCTCGGAACCTCCGCCCGTCTGACCCGGCCTGGAGGGGGGAACACAGGGGAAGACATCCTTGCTTGCTCCGCCCTCCTGCCTTTATTCCAGGCTGTGGAGATGGTGGTGAGGGCAGTGGCCTGCTGGCTGGGGGCCGGAGGGGGGGGGAGGGGGGAGGGGGGAGGGGTTCATACTGGGGAGGCTGAGGGCCCGCGGGGCCCAGGGCACTCACATGGTATGAGGCTTCCGGAAGTAGCGCAGGGCAAATTCCTGCATGGTATAGTTGTGGGGTTCAGAGGACAGCGGGGGGTACTCTGAGGAAGGCAGACTGGTGGCATCCGAGTCGTCACTGTAGGCAGGATGCTGGGAGCACAGAAAATCCGATGCTACCCAGCACCCACCGGCTGGTGGCAGAGCTGCCGCCCCTCCTCCCAGCCCTGCCCCTTTGCAACCTGAGAGCAGCTAATACCCGAAACCAGGAAAGTCAAGGTTGTTTATTTGAGCCTTGGACTGAGGGTCACATGGGAAGCTGGGCTTAGGGCCCATCCCCTGCCCGCAGGGGGCTTACAGATTGCTGAGGAGACAAGGCAAGACATCAGGAGAGTCTCCAGAGAATCGCAGCACACGAAGAACTGGCCATGAGGCCACTGGAGGCAGATGGACCTTGGGGGAACTTCCTGTGCCGCTAGTCAGTCCCCCCCTTTACCTCTCCTGCCTTCCTCACTTCCGAGGCCCTGTCCCTCAGAGCCGGCTCCCTGGGCTGGGCCTGACTCTTGCGCTGCCAGCTGGGCTTCTGCTCCGACAAGAAGGAGACGTCGGGTGCAGCGGCCGGCTGCACCATGTCAGCAGGGAACAATCCAGATCGACCTCCAACAGAACCAAACTGCCAGCCTAGAATGCATCCCCACATGCAGCTCAGCTGCCTGAGCCCTCTGTCTCTCGGCAGCCTCTGCCAGCAGGTTGCCCTCTCTGCACCAGACCCTGCCAGTCTGGGGATGCAGGGAGAGGGGGGGTTACCTGGCTCCAGAGTAGTCCCTGGCAACAGCTTGATGAGATCCCCACGGTGGAAGCTGAGGAGGCTGTGGTCATCCGTGATGTAGCTGCGCAAAGCGATGACGTAGCCAGACCCCTATGGGCGGGTGGGCAAGGGGGCTAGACATCTCTATCCGCCGGACACCCAGAATTCCAGTGACCCAGCCTGAACTCCCACCCCACCCTGGGGAGGGAAAGGCAGGCTGGGGGTGCTGCCCGCTCCCTGGCCCATGCTGACCTTCCTAAGCTCTTCCAGGTACTGCTCCACCATAGCCTTGATGGCCCTCGCCTGGGGCGTGTGCAGCACCAGCTGCTCACCCTTCAGCGTCAGCTCCAGGGCGGAGCTGCCCCGGCACTCCACACCCAGCACCTGGGCAAAGCTGCCAGCAGATTGAGAACTTGAGCTGGGGAGTCTCTGGTCCGCCGCACCCCCAGCTCAGGCTCTGGGCCGGCTGACCTGTAGGAGCACAGTGTCTTCAGCTGGTCTAGATGGAAGCTGGGGACTTGGACCACCTTGAGGAGTCGCAGCCCTCGGTGAGACACAGCCAGCCGCTGGACATCACTGCCTCTCTCTCCCTGCCGAGGGGGGAGGGGGGCGTCACAGGCAGGCTCCTGGGCCCTGGCGCGGCCCTGGTGCCCGGGAGCTGCGGCACAGGGCCAGAGGCTCATGTTGTCTTAATGTCATCCCCCGAGCGACACTAACCGAGACCGGGAAGATGCGGGAGAAGTAATTGGCCCAGTTGTCGCGGGCAGCCACCACGATGCGCTTCTTGACACTGTCTTCAGCGGCGGCCAGGGAGTCCAGGCCCACCTCCAGGTCTCCTGGGGACAGGAGGGCCCATCTTTAGCACCTCTTCTTGCACAGCACGCTCAGCCCACGTTCTCCCTTGTGGCCAGGCCCAGCCCCCAGCCCTCCAGCTCCCAAGCCCCTACTCAGCAGGTCTTTCATTCTGTGCCGCTCATCTGGAGAGATGCGGATGCAGGACTCAGCAAAGGTGTCTCGCAGGATCTGGAGGCGGAGCCCAGTGGTCACCACTAGGTCCCCTCCGGACCAGAGGCAACCCCAGAGCAGCATGGATGCGCATGGAGGACCCAGTAGAGGGCGCTGTGGGGCTCACTGGGCCCTGCTGGAGGCAGGATTGGAAGAGAGGACAGAGGGCTTCCAAGCCCAGGGCCATGTCCACACCACAAGGGCTCTTGCTCCCACTCCTTCGGTGCCTGTACCCCTGCCCTTGGCCTCTCTGCCCCAGCCCCTGCCAGCTGCTGTAAGTGAGCTCAGATTGACTACGCACATTCTACTTGCTATGAACATGGCAGACACAAAGTGGGCACTATACAAGTGTTTGTTAAAAACTAAAATTACTGTCAGGTGCTGGTAAATTCCAGCTATTCAAGAGCCTGAGATCTGAAGCCAGCCTGGGCAGAAAAGTCCCTGTGGGACTCATCTCCAATTAAGCACTCAAAAAACAGAAGTGGCTAGCCCCAGTGGCTCACGCCTGTCATCCTAGCTACTCGGGAGCCTGAGATCTGAGGATCGCAGTTCAAAACCAGCCTGGGCAGGAATGTCTGTGAGACTCTCATCGCCAATTAACTCCCAGAAAACCGGAAGTGGTGCTGTGTCTCAAATGGTAGGGCGCTCACCTTGAGCTGGAGCTCAGGGACAGTGCCCAGGCCCAGAGTTCAAGCCCCACGACTGACCCCCCCCCCAAAAAAAAAAAGTAGTGCTGTGGCTCAGTGGCAGAGTCCTAGCCTTGAGCATTGGGACGCTCAGGGACAGCACTCAGGCTGTCAGTTCAAGCCCCACAACTGACCAAAACAAAACTGGTGGTGGATCATAGCTACTCAAGAAGCTGAGATACAGGGACAGGGGTTGGGTTAAAACAGTTTGAGACCCCTTCTCAGCCAATAGGTAGACTAGTGGGACACACATCATCCCAGCTGCCTGGGAGGCCGAGACGCTAGCCCAGACCTCCTCCGTACCCTCCCCAACCAAAGAAAAGTAATGTGAAACCCTAGCTTAGTGGAAGAAGCTGGGCAAAGTAGTGTATGTCTTATCATCTCTGCTACGGTGGGAAGTGTAAAGTAGGAATATCACAGTCCAGGCCTGTATCAGGAAAAAAAGCAAGACCCTATCTCAAGATAGGATCTCAAGAGATGTGGCTTAGGCAGTAAAGCTTGAGGTCCTCAGTTTAAACCCCAGCACCAGCTGGGCGCTGGTGGACCAAGCCTGTATACTAACTACTCAGGAGGCTGAGATCTGAGGATCACAGTTTGAAGCCAGAATGGACAAGAACATCTCTGAGCCTCTTATCTCCAATTAGCTGCCAAAAAGCCAGAAGTGGAGCTATGAATCAAGTGGTAGAAGGCCTGCCTTGAGGGAAAAAATTAAGGGACTGTGCCCAGCCCTGAATTTTGAGCCCCAGTACTGGCACAAAAAAAGTAATAAATTTCATAAGCAGAAACTCCAAGACGTTTATCTATTTCTAAATTATCCAAGTAGAGGGGGGTGCCAGTGGCTCACGTCTGTAATCCTAGCTACTCAGGAGGCTGAGATCTGAGGATTGAGGTTCAAAGCCAGCCTGGGCAGGAAAGTCCACGAGACTCTTATCTCCAATTAGCCACCAGAAAACTGCAAGTGGCGCTGTGGCTCAAGGGGTAGAGTGCTGCCTTGAGCTAAAGAGCTTAGGGACAGCGCCCAGGCCCAGAGTTCAAATCCCATGACTCACCAAAAAAAAAAAAAAAAATCATGGTTCCTGCTTCTTAGCAATGTTGCACACCACCCTAAGTGCTGGCTGCTGTTACAGCCTCAGCCGAGCATCAGCCTGGCCCACGAGTTGGGTCTGTAGACACAGCGGGTGGGCGGGTGGCTGGGCTCTCACCTGCTCACAAAGAAGCTGGAGGCAGTAGGGATGGCTGAAGTTCTCCCGGGGATAGAACACCTGGAGGAGGACACGGGAGAGCCAAGGTGAAGCTGGGACCCCGCAGGCTGCCCAGAGGCCAGGCTGAGGCCCCGCCCCCAGGCCCACCTCCTTGCGTAGGAACAGCTTCCAGGGTGCGCTGGCATAGGAGAAGCACACGCTGCCAGACGGGGTCAGTAGCTGGGTGCAGACCCCTTGGTCCTCCATGGGCTCCCTCAAGGCTGCAGGGGACGGGTGAGGAGATCGGGCAAGGGGGTGACCTTCATTCTTGCCACCTCCAGCTACCTCACCACGGGCCTCTGAACCTTCCTTTCCGGCTCTAAACTTTCTGGTGTCCCTGACCACGTCACCCTTGGCCACTAAATGTACCCTCTGAGCTGTCAGCGCGCATCAAGGGCAACACCCTATGTGTCAGTCCCCCAGTGCCAGACAGTGCCAGCGGGCGCCCAGGGCCTTGCCCGCAGCAGGAACCTGGAAGCCGGGCCTCCATGGCTCCAAAGTCCAGAGCCCGAACAGCTGACTTCAGCAGTATGGAGGTGACTTCAGCCACGAGTCCCAAGAGGTGGTTGAGTGAGTAAAGCCTGCTGCAGTGGGGGGGGGGAGGGTGGGCGGGGGGAATGCTAGGGGTCCTCACCACGAGGCTCCACTGAAGAGATGCTGGGTTCCTCAGGCAGAGGCAATGGGGGTGCCGGTGGAAGAGGGGGTGTCTGGGCTATGGGCGAGTTTGGCCCAAACAGATTCTGAAGAGGCCCCTGCTTTTCCTTGATAGAGCTGGAGGGCCCAAGTCGTGGCAGGGCCTTGGGCTTTGGAGCCACGGCTGGCGGGGGGCCTTTGTCTAGGTTGGGGGACGGTATCTGGGAAAGACAGAGGAAAGCAGGAGGGTGGAGTCTATGGCTGAACCCCGGATGGCTGGGCAGGCGAGCCCAGGTCTGGAAGGAATGGGCGTGGGGGAAGGGGACACAGGCCCCGGGACTCACCGATGGCGCTGACTGGGTGCTGTGGATACCCAGCTTGGCCAGAGCCTCATCCTTGGGATCATTTTTCTTCAGGAAAGTTTTGGGAGGCCTGGCAGGAGAAAGAAAAGGTTACCAGGTCTGGGGGTGTGGGGGGGGCATTTCTTGAGGAGCGAGGCAGCCCCAGTCCCTGCCCGGGGCGCACCTGGCTGGCTGCACGGGCACGGGCACGGGGCTCGGGCGGCTCTGGTACATCCGGATGATGTTGCGGATCTCCTTGCTGGGCTCTGGGCGCTGGGGAGTGGGGTTCGAGCTGTGTGGCCTGGGCTCCCTGGCCCGGGCCGGCACTGCCTCCTTGGCTGGCTCTGCCTCGGCCTCTCTCGCAGCCTCCTTGGCTGGCTCTGCCTCTGCCTCTTTTGCAGCTTTATCCCCGCTTTGTTTCAAGGGCTTTTTCACAACTGCGAGAGGAGGAGGGGGCGGCTCTGACAACAAGAAGAAAGATGCATAAACACTATGTACAAATTGGGCGGGGGAGGCCAGGTCCCTGCCCAGCTGTCCTACCTGCTCTACTTTCCTCTTCCTCCTCTTCCTCCGTCTCTCCCCCCTGGGGAATCTGGACTTTGGGTGGAGATTTCACCTTCTTCACCTTGATCTGTTGTTGCCCTGTCAATGTCCCGGGTGGCAAGGTGTGTCTGTCACCCATGGCCTGGCTGAACCCTGGCCAGACCGTTCTGACGAGGGAGCTGAGGAGGACACCCCGCCATCCCCTGGCCAAGTGCAGGGTGGGGGCACCCTTACCCATCTTCTGGAAGTACTCCCGTTTCTGCTGGAAGCTCTCGGGGTGGCCAGGGCTGTGTTCAGCTTCCTCTGCGAAGTCCTCCTGGCAGAAGGAAGAAGTGAAGTGGGGGCACCCGTCCCGCCCCTCCCTAAAGCTTCTTGCCCACCCTGTCCTGAGAGTCTCATCTCTGCAAGCCTCGTACCCTCGGCCCACACCCCAGCCCCCCACGGGCCGCCTGGCCTCAGCTCCTCACCCTCCAGCAGGCGCCCGTGGGTTCCGGATCGCTCTCTGGCACCTCTTGAGGAGTGGGGGGCTTCTTGGACTTGGGGGTGGTGGCCGGGGATGGGGCTTGGGAGGTGGCTCTGGAGGCCTGTGCCTGGCGCTGGCGCTGCTGGCTCTGCTGCTCCAGAGACAGGCTCATGGCCTGGGTGGTCATCTGCTGGGCCTAAAGGAGAGGGGTGGCAGGCCCGGTAAAGAGCCCCTGGCCAGCGCCGGCCGCCGAGCCTGCCTCCCGCCCCCCCAGGCGGCCCCCACGGGCCCGGCCGCGCATACCAGGATCAGCGCCTGCTGGTTGATGAAGTTCTGCTGCTGGACTGCCAGCTGCTGTGTGTCCAGGCTGGGAAGCTGCGGCGGCGGCGGCGGCACCATCATGGCTGTGGGGCCACGGGTGAGAACACAGACGGTGAGGACAGTGGCCAGTTCAGGCTCTAGCTCCCTGTGCTTTCTGGACGCCTGGCAGAGGCCCTGGCACCCCTGGCTCAGGCTTACCTGGGATAGCAGGGATGGGACCCATCGCTGGCATCATAGGCACAGGTGCGGGCACCATGGCTGGCTGGTACCCGGGCATCTGCATCATCCCTGGGTATACTGGGGGACAGGGCCTCCCGGGTGAGTCCCCACGGGGGCCTGCATACCTCCAGCTAGGCATTGGCCACCAAGGTCTGGCCGGAACACCCATCCCCGGCTGCCTGAGGGCTTCCACGCTACCCCTGCCTGTGCTGGAGGTCCCGGAGAGAACCAGCCCATACTTACCCATGGGGTAGCCCTGCTGCTGCGAGGGGCCCACGGAGCCCCCTCCCTTCATGCGGCTGCTCAGGGCCCAGCCTTGGTCCAGATCCTAAAGGGACAAAGCAAACACAGAAGGGGCAGCCGAGGCCTCAGAGGAGTAGGGGGGAGGGTGGGAGAAGGGGAGGGGGGTGGGAACACTTACACTGAGGCCTGGGGTGAGGACAGGCTCAAAGAGGTGGTCCAGGAAGCCATCCAAGCTCCCAGCGGGCCGGGCCTCGCCTGCGGGGTGGGGACAGGCTGGGGTGTCCTTCCAGAGTGGCATGGATTCCACCCCCAAGTCCTCAGCTGAACCCCAACGCGCCTCACCTGTGTGATATCTGCTGGGCAGGGTGGGGGCGGGGCCTGGAGGAAGTCCTGGGGGCAGAGAGGGGGCCTGGACGCCAGGGGCCGGGGGGATGTCCTCGGCTCTGCAGAAAACAGAGTACCTAGCTGGGTGGTGCCCAGACCAAGTGGAAATGTGGAGGCTGCTGTGGGGGGGGCTGACCCCAAGCTGGAGGCAGAGGCTCAGGTGGAAGGGCGAGGCCTGTAGCAGCACCCACACATTCAAAGTGTTAGCAGGGTGCTATAGGTAGGGGTCACCAGCTGGGAAAGGGGCAGGCTGGGGACAGGGGTGTTGGGCGGCACCTACAAGTCAAAAGAAGTGAAGGGGTAGCTGTGGGGGTCAGCCGGGTCCCCCAAGTCCTCCATCTGGCCTATCAGGTCCAGCACAAAGTCGCAGCCAGACAAATCCTGCCAGGCGTCCTCAGAATGCAGTGACACAGACCAGCCACGCGGGGGCACCTCCAGGCCTCTAGGTGGGGACAGGGCCATGCAGTAGGGGTGGTCAAGGAGGCCCAAGACCATCCTGCAGGGGTGGGGGGATGGGGGGGGGCAGAGGGCCCAGAGGGCTGAGGCCTGGGGAAAGGAGTCCAGAGGCCTTTCCAGCCCTTGGCCTGTTCCTCAGTTGCAGGGAGCCCAGAGCTCAGCCTCTCAGTGGCTCAGACAGCTCTGAACAGCACTTGCCTATTTGAACAGCCCTCTTCTAGTCTCCCATAGCTGTACCACTCAGTCCTGACTGAGGGAGCTAGAATCTGGACTCTATTCTTTACTTGAACTTGAACTCAGTCCCTGATGCTTTTGCTCATCGGCTGGCATTCTACCAATGGAGCCATGCCGCTGGACCCTCACACGGTCCCTTGGTTACAATCTCTTTGCTCTCCATTTCGACATGGTTGGACCTTGCCCACTTACCCTAAAACCCTTTCTCATCCTGCCCCTTGGGGAGCAGCCTCTGTCTCCAGCCCTAGGAGGCACTTGGGAGGGGAGAGGGCCAGGGGGACAAGGGCGGGACAGTGGCCAGCCGTGGCCACACGCCACACCTGCTCTGCAGAATCCACCCCGCAAACTCCTCTCCCGTGGTCCAGGACTCCACCTCCACCGAGAAGCACTCTTCTGCAGGAGAAGGGGAGGGGACCTGGGTGAGGGGCAGCAGGATCCATCGAGACAGTAAAGGCAGCTGTCCCGAGGGCGGGGCAGGGGGAGAGCAAGCTCCCAGACGGGCAGCAGGTGCAGGGAGGGCGGGGAGAGGGGCCTGGTGGCCACAGGGGGAGGTGGCCATCACCATTGAAGGTGAAGACGTCCAGCGCCATGCGGCCCCGCCGCCATCCGGCCTTCCACTCGAGCTGGGTTGGAGGGTGAGTCCGGGCAGCCCCGGGCGCCAGCGGCGTCTGCGCCAGGGCTTCCAGTAGTTTGTGTTGGCACAGTGCTGCCATGCCCTTGGGGGCCTGGTCAGACACAAATCTGTGGGAGAAAGCGCGGGGCCGCTTGCAAAGCGGGGCAGGGTGGCCCACGGACTCCACTCACCAAGCCCCCACCCTCCGGACTCCTTACTTGAGCAGCGGCTTCTGCAGAGCGGGCGTGGGGGGAAAGGCGCTGAGCAGGATGGCCATGAGGGCCCAGCCCCGCTGGCTCTGCTGTTCATCCGGGTTACGCCAGAGTTGGGTCACCAGCTGGCTGAAGAGTTCGTCCCGAAGGCCAGGCCGGCGCAGCCCCTGCCGTACCAGGTACGTGCCCATGGTGTGCTCCTGCCAGGGCTGCAAGGATCCGTCCCCCAGGAGCCGCAGCATCTGGAGACACAAAAGCCAGACGGGAGCAGGAGGCGGGGCTCCTGCCTGTCCTTCTAAGGTCCCCGCTAGGGCCTGCCCTGCCCTCTCCCTGACATGTCACTCACCACCTTGTTGATCTCCAGAGCATGCTGAGGGGTCTCCCTGTCCAGCCGGGTCAGGGGCCTGGTCAGTGGCTGCCCTGGGCTGGGCAGAGATGGCTCCTGTGGGGGAGGAATGTGGTACAGTGTTTGTCCTCTCTGCTGACCTGCAGGAGGACAGTCCCAGGAGAGCCCTACAGACGCCTGCGTCCCAGGACAGGGGCTGGTGCACAAGTGCTTCTTCAAAAGGCTTGTTTTTTCAGGGCTGGGACGGTGGCTCAGTGGTAAAGTGCTTGCCTAGCATGGCATGAAGCCCTGGGTTTGATTCCTCAGCACCACATAAGCAGAAAAGCAAAAGCCGGAAGTGGTGCTATGGCTCAAGTGGTAGGGTGCTAGCCTTGAGCTGAAGAGCTGAGGGACAGCACCCAGGCTCAGAGTTCAAGCCCCACGACCAGACCCAAAAAAAAAAAAAGTGGCACTGTGGCTCAAGTGGTAAAGTGCTAGCCTTGAACAAAAAGAAGCTCAGGGACAGTGCCCAGGCCCTGAGTTCAAGTCCCAGGACTGGCAAAAAAAGAAAGAAAGAAAGAAAGAAAAAGGCTTTTTCAGATGGGCCCTGGTGGCTCACACCTGTAATCCTAGCTACTCAGGAGGCTGAGATCTGAGGCTCTTGGTTCAAAGCCAGCTCTGGGCAGACAATTGAAGAGACTCTTATCTCCAATGAACAGGAGGTAGGGGGTTGGGGGCGGGAGGGGCCAGGGAAGCCAGAAGTAGAGCTGTGGCTCAAGTGGTAGAGCTCTAGCCTTGAGTGTAAAAGATAAAGGAGAGCCGGGTGCCTGTGGCTGATGCCTGTCATCCTAGCTACTCATGAGGCTGAGATCTGAGGATCACGGTTCAAAGCCAGCCTGGGCAGGAAAAGTCCATGAGACTCTTATCTCCAATAAACCACTCAGAAAACCAGAAGTGGTGCTGTGGCTCAAGTGGTAGAGCGCTAGCCTTGAGCTGAAGAGCTGAGGGACAGCGCCCAGGCCCAGAATTCAAGCCCCATGACTGACAAAAACAAACAAAAAAGATAAGGGAGAGTGCCCTAGACCCTGAGTTCAAGTCCTAGTACCAACACACACACACACACACACCATAAAAAGGCATCTTAAAGGGTTTTTTTTTTTTGCTTTTTTTTTTCCAGTCCTGGGGCTTGAACTCAGGGCCTGGGCACTGTCCCTGAGCTTCTTTTGCTCAAGGCTAGCACTCTATCACTTGAGCCACAGTGCCATTTCTATTTTTTTCTATTTATGTGGTACTGAGGAATTGAACCCAGGGCTTTATGCATGCTAGGCAAACACTCTACCACTAAGCCACATTCCCAGCCCCCTTAACTGTTCTGTAATTAGAATATTCACAGTCCTACATTCAAAACACTCAGAAAACATGCAAGAGGATAAACATAAAAATAAAAACTATCATCAGCTAGGAATAAAGGTGTGCGCCTAAAATCCTAACACTCAGGAGGCAGAGACAGGAGAATCAAGAATGCAAGGCCAGCCTGGACTACTCAAATAAACAATCTCTTCTCATTAACTGCCCACTTCCAGGGTGACCAAGGTGGGCACTGGACCTCTCTTCCCTGTCTTACTCTCTGTGCAAAGACTGTCTATGCTGTGATGTGGGCAGTTTTGAATGTTCCTTTTGTAGTTTACTCTATTCTGGCCAGTTTCCCCCTGTCATTAGATATTACTTAACAACATGACTTCAAAGGCAGAGCGATGCCAAGAATAAATAATAAAGGTGTGTCTTCTCACTGTGAGGTGAGATAGTTCAGTTTATTGGGTATTTTCATAGTAGACCAGCTGTCCCCACAGCCCTGAGGGCCACAGAGGGTGAAGAAAGTAGGGAGGCCCTGCTTCTGCCTGGAAGCTATTAAGGCCGGGGAGTGGCCAGGAGCAGGAAGGGGTCAGGCAGGCCCAGCGTCTCACCTGGAAGCTGATGGAGACGAAGCTGGAGAAGGGAAACTGGTCGATGTCGGCTGGGAGAGACAGGCTGGGCCGGGCAGGAACCTCCGGGGGCATGGATTCCTTGATGGTTCCAGCCAGGACATCTTGGCTGCCTGAGAGTGAATGCCAAGGTGGCAGCCCAGAGATGCCCTGGCATAGTGCCAGGTCTGGTACCACCTCTACCACCCCCTGCAGCGATCAGCATCCATCGACGCCAGCAGGGTCCCCGGGGGAGAGGCCACACCCTGACAGAGCCAAGGGATGGGCACCGGGAAGACTCACCTTCTGCCCTCCGCAGCATAGCGGCCAGCTCTGCTGGGATTTCCAAGCGTCCCAGATCCTGGTGGAGAGGGAAGGCACGTCATCCCAGGGTGATAAACACATCCCCTCCAAAAAACACAAGGAGGCTGGGCCCCAAACAAGCAGAGCTCCCAAGCGTCCTCCAAGGGAAACTGAGGACGGTGGAGAGTCACGGACACCCCAGTCCTTTGCTCAGAGGTGGCACATGGACGCCAGGACCCTTGGCAGCACCCACCTCTCTGCCCTCCCCCCGAAGCTGTGCCAGGCTCAGACCCCTGCACCTTTCATGTCCCCTACCATGTCTGGCACTTTCTCCCAGGTGCCGCCACTGTGCTGGTCACGCCAGTGCCCGAGCTGTGGAGAAGGCATAGGAGGAGGAGATGTCATTTCTCTGTAAGGTGCTACCCCGGGAGCCTCTCCTCCTGCCCGCCCCCCGCCCGGCTTCTGATGCCAGCAAAGGAAAAGCACCGACCCAGGAAGGCCGGCTGCCCAGGAGTGGTGACGGCTGCCCAGGAGTGGCGGTCCCCACCTGCTGCCTGCCTGCCCCAACCCTCACTGGCTCCTCACTGTGGACGTCACTGCCCGTCCGTCCACTAGAGCACCAGGAAGAGACAGGAAGGGAAGAAATGGTCCTAGAGGACAAACTCCAGCCAGGGAGGGGCCGGTGGGGGGGCGGGCAGTGTATGGGCACTGACCTTTGAGCTTCTTTATGGCCTGCAAATTGGAGTATCAGGCAAGGGAGGGAGCAGGAAGGGCCTACAGGGCCAGGAGGGGAGGGGAGGGACCCCACCTAAGAAGGGGGAGGCAGGCCCCTGAGCATGGGTAAGAAGAAGAAACACAGAAGCCAGGCGCTGGTGGTTCTCATAGATAATCCTAGCTACTCAGAAGGCTGATATCTGTGGATTGTGGTTCAAAGCCAGCCCATGGAAGGAAAATCCATGAGACTCTTCTCTCTAAGCACTAAAAAAGCTGAAAGTGGAGCTGTGGTTCAAGTGGTAGAGCACTATTTTATTTATTTATATATATATTTTTTTGTCAGCTGTGGGGCATGAACTCTGGGCCTACGTGCTGTCTCTCAGCTCTTCAGCTCAAGGCGAGCGCTCTACCATTTGAGCCACAATGCCACTTCTAGTTTTCTGGTGGTTCACTGGAGATAAGAGTCTCATAGACTTTGCTGCCCAGGCTGGATTTGAACCATGATCCTCAGATCTCAGCCTCCTGAGTAGCTAGGATTACCGGCGTGACTAATTTTGAGTAGAGAAAGTTCTGGGAAAGCTAGTTCCCAGGCCCTGAGTTCAAGCCCTAAGACCAGACCAGAAAAAGAAAGAAAGAAAGAAAAAAAGAAAGAAAGGCAGGCAGGCAGGCAGGCAAAGGAGAGAGAGAAAGAGAAAAAGAGGAGAGCAGGAGTGGGGAGAGGGAGAGAAAGTGAGAGGGGAAGCCGGGCGCTGGTGGCTCACGCCTGTAATCCTAGCTACTCAGGAGGCTGAGATCTGAGGATTGCGGTTCAAAGCCAGCCCGGGCAGGAGAGACCGTGAGACTCCTATCTCCAATAAACCACCAGAAAACCGGAAGTGGCGCTGTAGCTCAAGTGGTAGAGTGCTCGCCTTGAGCTGAAGAGCTGAGGGACAGCACCCAGGCCCAGAGTTCAAGCCCCACGACCGACAAAAAAAAAAAAAAAAAAGTGAGAGGGAAGGTAAAGGAAGGAAGGGAAGGGCAAGAAAGAAAAAGAAGGAATGGACAGAAGGTAAGGAAGGGAGGAAGGGAGAGAGGGAGGAAGGAAGGAAGGGAGGGAGGAAGGAAGGAGGAAGGAAGGAAGGAAAGAAGGAAGGAAAGAAGGAAGGGAGGAAGGGAGGAAGGAAAAGGAAGACCGTGGCTGTGGGACCCCAGCCTGCCCTGGCTGGTCAGAGAGACAAGGGAAGAGCACTGTTCTCTGAAGCTCTCATCCTTGTGGGGTGAGCTGGGGAGTCACTCTCGGATGGATCTCAGTCCACGGGCCAGCTGAGGCTGGTTGGCTTCTACCCCGAGCCTCCCCACTCCAGCCTCTGCCAGCCCCCTCACCTGCAGCTTCTGCCGTCTGTGGAGCAGGGGCCGGGCCACCAGAAGGATGGTGTTCAGCTGTCCCAGAGCCGCCCGGCGCCGGAGGTAGCGCTTCCTAGAGGGTACGGGGTGGGGGGGAGGGGAATGGGGAGCATGACGTCTCCAAACCTCCACCCCCAGCTGCCAACGGGCTCACGCCTGTAATCCTAGCTACTCAGGAAACTGAGACCAGAGGACTGAGGTTTGAAAGCAGCCTGGACCGGAAAAGTCTGTGAAACTCTTATCTCCAATCAACCACTGAAAAGCCAGAGCAGAGCTGGGACTCCAGTGGTAAGAGTGCCCGGCTTGGGCAGAAAAGCTAAGGGACAGCATTAGGGCCTTGGGTTCAAGCGCCAGAACCGGCCCGATGAAAAAACAAAAAGCAAAACAACTTCTATGTATCTCCTATCTGGCATCAGAATCCTCTAATCCTAGACAGTATGCAAAGCCCCTGAGGCTGGACAGAAACAACAAAGAACAGGACACTATGAGAGAAGAACAGGTGAACCAGAGGCTGCTCAGCAAAGGGGATTAAGATCTGACTCTGGAGCTAGGTTATAAGCTTCAAGTCATTTTCTGCCTCATTAGTAACTGGGACCGTGGATAAGTAGCGTTCTTCTCTCTCTTGTAAAATGTAGAAAGCAACATCATGCCGAATGTGGCTCTGCCTGTTGTCCTGGCTTTTCAGGAGGTGGAGGATCATGGTTTCATGTTATCTTGGGCAAATAATAATAATAATAATGGGCTGGGAAGGTGGCTCAGTGGTAGAGCGCTTGCCTTGCATGCATGAGGCCCTGGGTTCGATTCCTCAGCACCACATAAGCAGAAAAAAAAACACAAAAAACTCAGGAATAGGTCTCAGGCCCTGAACACAACAAGCCCTATTATTGGAAAAAAAGAAAAAGAAAAAGAAAAAAAATAATAATAATGTCTGAGAGACCCCTCCCCATCTCAATAGAGAAAAGCTGGATGTAGTGGTGCATGCTGGTCATTTCAGCTATGGCAGGGAGGATAAAATAGTAGGGTCATAGCTGGACACCTGTGGCTCATGCCTGTAATCTTAGCTACTCAGAAGGCTAAGAGCTGAGGATCATGGTTCAAAGCCAGGCCGGGCAGGAAAGTCCATGAGACTCTTATCTCCAATAAACCACTCAGAAAACCAAAGTGACGCTGTGGCTCAAGTGGTAGAGAGCTCGCCTTAAGCTGAAGAGCTGAGGGACAATGCCCAGGCTCAGAGCTTAAGCCCCACAACCAAAAAAAACAAAAAAAGTTTGCCTTAAGCCACGACAGGAGAAGATGCATGGCCTCATACACCTAATTTCTGCTGAAAAGATCTTTCTTGCTATAAAGTGGAGAGCAGACTAGAAAGGAGCCATCACTACCATCACTACAGTGAGACCCCGCAGTGGCAGGCTCAGGTGGCGCTGGCAGGAATGAGCGTCCTGTGCTCAAGTTCAAGCGCAGGTTGTGTGGGTGATGTGGCAATGCAGTCACGGACTGTCTAGAGCCAAAGTGGGACTTGCCTTGAGAAATCCCCTGATCTCCCCAACCTGGCCCTACTACCTTGAAGAACTGCCCACTCACCCACCCACTTCAGCCCTGGGTGCGAACGCCTGCCCACCTGGCCTGGAGCCCACGCACACGAGCTTGCATCCGGGGCAGGAGGCGGAGGCGCTGGCGGGAGATGCAGACCCGGAGGCCGCGGTGCAGCGTGAGCAAGGCCTGGGCGCGGCGCTGGGCCCAGAGCCGCTCCAGCTGCTGCCAGCCCTGCTCCTGCAGCAGGACCTGTGGGCAGAGGCACTGCAGGCCGGCCAGGCCTGGCGGCGGGGCCCAGCTGCTCCTCGGTCTACTCTGGGGTGCCCAGGACGGCCAGCTGCCCAGCCCCACTCTACCCCCCGCCTAAGGACCGGTCAACCCAGACTTGGTCCATTTGTCCCCAACACACTGCTCCTCTCCAGCACGCCTGCTCCCCTGCTTGCCAGGACCTAGGTGCTCACCTGGGTGACTCCGAGGTGATAGAGAGGCGACTCTGCTCCCAGCACCTGGGTGAGGATGGCGCCACACCTTTCTCGGTCAGAGCAGTCACCCTGCCCCTCTGTCCCCAGGGCCTGGAACCTGTCCACGGATGCAGAGGTGAGATCAGAACAGCAAGTATTTCCTTTTCTTTTTTTGTCGGCCGTGGGGCTTGAACTCTGGGCCTGGGCGCTGTCCCTCAGCTCTTCAGCTCAAGGCGAGCACTCTACCACTTGAGCTACAG